TATATTAAAATTGCAGTTAAAACAAGGGAAAGACTGTTTCATTCTTGGATTATTATAACTCTGTATACTGAATCTGATTGTCAACTTGGATTTTCTCAACTCAAATTTGGATGTCAAGAGACAAAAAGTTGCTTTCAGTGAAATTTAGCTCTTTCAAAGGCTTGATCCTTACTCGGGCAATTATGTAAATTGCTTTGGAACAATTTTACAATATTGACATCAGCTTTAATCATAAGCTAGGAAGAGAAATAGACAATGTTAGCATTTTGGGGATACTTTTCATTAGACTTTAAACGCCCAGTGGGAAAAAATAAAAGCTGTAATCATAAGCTTAATAAAATACTAATCCTAGCTGCATGATTGTCCTTTTCAGTTATTTTAAGAAGCATTCAGACAATACATAATAATATGAAAAACATCTTCATAGTTTTGCCAAGAATAGATTCAGTATATTAACTGTTTGACGGACTGTTTACATTTGCAGTCACTGTTAAAGATTAGTTTATCCTTTTCACATGTAGCACTTGGTTTGCTTTTATTTAAAAAAAATTTCCAGCCCTGGCGGGTGTGGCTCAGTTGGTTAGGCATCATCCTGCAAACTGATAGGTTGCGGTCCTGGTCAAGGCATAAGCCTGGGTTGCAGATTGGGTGCCCAGTCAGGGCAGGAGCAGGAGGCAGCTAATCGATGTTTCTCTCTCACATCCACGTTTCTCTCCCTCTTTCTCCCCCCCCCCCCCGCCCCCGCCCCCTAAAATCAGTAAGATTTTTAAAAACTAAAAAAAAATTTTTTTTCTAGTTTTCATACTTAATTTTTGAGTTCTAATTGTCATCCATTAATTAAAATTCCATTAAAAGATCTTTTGTTTGAGTTTGTGAAGGTGCACACATGCACTTGTGTCTGCCATAATAAAATGCTTTGGTGATTAAAAAACAATGTTCTATGAAAGATTTGAAAACATCTTATTATAATTAATGAAGTGAAAAAGCAGGGACAGTGTGTATGATGTGCTGCCCTTGCGTCAGAGATTGCATGTTTGTGGCATGTTTGTCTCCACATGCTTGTAATTTATTAAGAGTGCTGGTATGGATACACAAGGATCTGGTAACAATGATTATCTTCTGGAAGGCTATCTGAGGCCTAATGGAAAGGAGACCTAATTTTTACCATGTATCCTTCATTTACCACCTACATGAGTTACCTGTTCAAAAAATGTTTTAAATTTCTTGAAGCATCATTCCACATTGTTAAATAGTAAATGTGAGAATTTTTATAACAGTATCAGTTTTGTTTTTTATTTTTAATGCGGAGTTTGTTTAATGAACTAGGTAATTCTAATTTCATCAGAGCGGGCATTGTTATTATCTAAACTCAGAAGAAAAGATGACAAACAGCCAATGAAAACTAAAAATGGTATTTTTGGGGTTTCTTAGGCAATTCGCATTTTGGTCCAGGAGCGCCTGACACAAGATGCAATTGCTAAAGCAAATCAAACAAAAGAGGTACGTGAATTTAAAATAAAGTCTAAATTAATTTTTAATGAAAGTTTCTTCTGGCATTGTCATGGGTTTAAACTTTGCATGTATCTACTTAAGATATCTATTCTGTGTTAGACCTACCCAGTGAAAGGATAGTTCACCTTAAGGGGATTGAGTTTGGTTCCTAAGCAAGTAGTACCCAGTCATTTTGGGTGGAAAATGACCTCATGTTTACCTCCCTTCATACCTTGTAGAAATGACTAAAAGCACAGTCTACCAGTACAAACCACTGCACATACCTAGTTGAAGTTTATTAAAAAGAATGTGCCCTTGTTATTTTGACTAATTGCTGGGAAACAGGACACATCTTCTCTGTTAATAATTTTCTGTTCGACCTAAATCCTATCCTTGCTCTTTTGTTTCCTCAGAGAAATCTCTTGTTCTTTTATCCTCTTTTCTAGCATAAAACATTTGTAACTTGAGTAAGGTCATCTAATTGCTAAGTGATTGAGCTTTAGGCAATCTGATTCAAGAACCTGTGCTCTTACAGTGGGTGGGAAAAGGGTCCATATGTGGTGGTTTACATGAGGTAGTTGATGTGTCCCAGGTGAAGGGGGATGAGAAGAGAGAGTGAAGGGTTCAGGGTACAGGTGACTGAAACTTACCTTTCCGTCGTGCTTTGTAGAATGAGAAAACTACATCATCACTCTCTTTCCCTTAATAATTCTGGGATGTTTTTAGATGAACTGTACCAGAAACCTAAATGTCCCTAAAGTCTCATTGACTATGGGGCAGTACAGAGCATGTCCTCATGGGTTAGGCAGCAGCAGCTGCAGGTGTCTGACGGTGCCCCTTCCTGCTGTGTAGATGTTGCAGCAAGTGCCTTTGGTATAGCTGGGTCCTGGTCCTTTTTGCCTCCCCAGAGTCCCCAGTGTCACATGTTGTCCTCTGACTCTGTCTTTAGCAAGGCCCAGCAGTGTTAAAAGGTTATTAATGCCAGGCAAGTATAGTCCCCTCTAAAAGACACTCGGTTGCTTTTAAATGTTCTTATTGCCTTATTAATTATGCATGAATCCAGCCACTGGAAATTGGGTTAAAGATCAGCCTATTTCTCCCACATATAGAACAGACAGTAAATTGTGCTGGCATAATAAATTCATTGATTCAGTAAAACTATGCCTTTGGTTTGAAAGGCAGTGCAAATAAGGGCATAGCCAAATCACTGCTTTTGTTTGCAAAGTAAAATTTAGTTTTATATTCAATGCTCCACATAAATCTTAGTTTTAATGTCATTTCAAAATATACCATGCCATAATACAATAAAGTAGAGAAATTTTACAGTTGTGTATGGTTTGTAACCATACATAACTAGCATGTGGTCATCTTCAGTCATAGCTTTTCCTTGGTCTTTTGTCAGACAAAGGGGAAAGCAGAGCCTCCGGTACCAGACTGACATAGGAGGCCACTTAGTACAATTCTACTCTTTAGTTTTGCTCACTGAATTCTCATACCCGTTTGTTTCTGCACTTAAATAATGTGTTTATTATTAGCTATTTTGAAGCAGATGGAGCCTAAGTAGATTTTTACCAATACATTAGGCAAGAATTGAGTAGTGTCAGCTTAGTATTTGTAGCATTAAAAGTATGGTGACTTTTTTTTACTGGTAATGATTTTAAACAGTTTAATCATCAGAACGTCTAGACTTCCTGTCATAGTTCATGAACTCCGTGTAGTTTGGCATGATCATGATCACCACCGTCACTATGTCTAGATGTATGTGCTGGCTGGAAGGTTAGCTAAATGGTTTTTAGAGTCTCTTCATTTTACCAGACTATTCAAAGTAATTTCAAAATGAACTATTAAAAGTGAAATTATATATAATTGATAAATAATGCTGGCTGAATTTTGCATATATTGCATATTTTAGATTTGTGAAATTTGCAAAGGCAATTAATGGCGCTTAGAAATAAACCTGCTTGAGGAAAGTAATGTGGAAAGTGGTCCGATTGCATTTGCCCTGCACTCTGCTGCTTAGTGTCGGTGAAATGCAGCAGAGCAGCCCTGCAGCAGAGGAGGAGCTGTTCTGTATGTCTGGCATCAGAGGACTGCACGGTTAGGGAGCTCGCTTTCCATTACGTCTAGAGGCCACTGTTTCCAAACTGGCTATAGTAGGGAGAACATCAAAATGCGAATTTAAAGAGAATTCTCAGTCCCCTTCCTGCTGTGACTAAAAGGGTTAAAATAACAAGAATAGCTAGCTGCTTTTCAGTTTCAGATGAGAAAAGAATGTAATACTTAACTAAAGTCTCATGCTGTCTTTTTTTTTTTTAAGGGATTGCCTGTTGCTTTGGATAAGCATATTCTTGGTTTTGACACAGGAGGTAAGTGATTTTGTTTTGATTAATTTAAACTACTTTCAGAGACTTGGTGAAAATTTGGGGGGAAATGAGTGAGTGAATGGTCTTAAATATGGAGGGTTAATGATTAATACCATGTTTCTTACAAATAGATGCAGTTCTTAATGAAGCTGCTCAAATTCTGCGATTGCTACATATAGAAGAGCTCAGAGAGCTACAGACGAAAATTAATGAAGCCATAGTAGCTGTTCAGGCAATTATTGCCGATCCAAAGACAGACCACAGACTGGGGAAAGTTGGAAGATGAACCTTTTAGGATATCAGCCTCTCACCTACTTAGTACAATTGGGAACCATGTACGCCTTGGTATGTGTTTTGAAATCAAACATCACATTTTCAAGGGAAGATCCCAGAAAATTGATGATGTTGTAGAGATTTACCATCATTGCTTTTTCTTTAATAAAGTTCAGGAAAGTGGATTTTTTTTTGACTGTCTGTTATGTTTATAATTAATCTGTCTTCCTCTGTGATTAAGGTACATGCCAACCCTCAACTTTGTTATAGAAACAATACAGATCCTCAAAAGTCGTAGGAAAACTTAAAATATTTTATTGATGTAATCTAGAAAATTTGAGAACTGATACATCTTTGGTATTTATAAATGTAGTAATTTCTGTTATTCTATAGAGGGACTTACAGACTCAGAAAACATAAATTGAAACATTGTAGCACCTTTTAATATAAATAGAAATGCACGGATGCAGAGGTAAAAAAAATTATCAAACTTTTGTTGGGAAACTGTAAATAAGCTGGTTCTTTCCCATCAGTTCTTCATAGCTTTCTCTAATTATGTCAAGGTTTATGACTTTAGGATTTTATTTTTATACTAGTCATATGTGCTTTAATTTCTTGGCCAAAAAGAACTCACAGTAAAAATCAGATTTTGGGTTCGTAACATATTTCTAATTGGTTCTTAGTTGAAAGACTATGACCTCTTAAATATATAAATGTTTATAAAAACTTGCTTTAATAAGCAACAATTAAAATTCTATTACCTTTTTTAAACTTGCAATAACTTTTGTCTTTAAAACTACAGTAGTAAAGATTTGAGGTATAAACTTTTCACAAAATATGCTTAGTTTTTTGCACTGAAAATGTCCTTCTTGTATGTCCAGGAACTTCTAATGGCCAATTCCTTTTTTACTTTCTTCACCTTTGCAGTAAATGTTCTTTAGGGTCCAGATTCTGATTGTAAACAAAAGTCCTTTACGATGCTATATTTACTTTCTTCCTGTAAGGGGAGATGGAGGAGGGGACAGTGGGTATTTTATAACTTGAGTTGCAACAGCAAGTCTTTTAAAAGGGAACTATTCTAATAGGCTGGCCTTCTCTGTGTATAGTTAAGTTAAGTAGATAGACTTCAGGTAGTAAACACTGGTCACCCCCATGTGTTGGCCATTAACTTTCCCAGCTCAAAGTGGCCCTCTCACTGGTGAAAATGTCAGTGGCAGCAGCCAATGTGTGGGCCAAGGGTAATCAGTTACCTAATAAGTCCTCCTATCCCCTGCTGATCCAAAGGATCAGCCTCAACGCCTTGGTTTACCTGCTGGGCAGTAGGGGTAGATCGCAGTTATCCCGTAGAGATGAGATCGCTGCTCTGGGAGATACTCATCAGTAAACTGGCCACTGTCTCTATTGACTGATATAACACCATCCCTGGTAACAGAAAGGAAGATTGTAGTCACTGGGTTTAAGGTTGGATAGAAAGCATCAGTTTCAATAGAGAAAAATCTCTGCAGCCTTCTAGAATACATTTTTAAAATAATATAATGAAACCAGTTTTGACTCTTTTAGTTAGATTCAGAAGATTTGTCTATATCAATGGTTCTTAGTGGGCCTCAGACCAGCATCATCTGGGAAACTTGATAGAAATGTGAATTCTTGGGTCCTTCCTCAGACCTACTGAATCAGAAATTCTGGGATAGGACCCATTAAAAGGTTTTAACAAGCCCTCAGATGATGCTGATGCCGCAGCCATGCTTAAGTTAGAACTACCCATCCAAATCAGTGCTTTCCAGCCCTGGTTGCATGTTGGAATTACGTGAGGATCTGTTAAATACTGATGCTCGGGATTCTTGCCAGGCCAATTAAATCATAGTTACAGGATAAAGGGTAGAAGGGCTTAGACACTATACAGGGGTGGGCAAAAGTAGGTTTACTGTGCCATTGTGACAGTCTTTTGAGTTAAAGCTATTGTAATAATCTGCATGTTTTTCTCCGTGCAAACAACTGTAAACCTACTTTTGCCAACCCATTTTTTTTTTTTGTTTCCCAGTTCCTCTTGGGAGAACTGGTAGACAACTAATAACTCCACAATGTCATTTTTTAAAATCAATTTAAATCATATAAGTAACATACTTCATGGTGCCCTTATGCTAGTCTTATTCTCTGAAGATCAGATTTAGATTGAAGCTCTCCCCTTTTGGTTAGTTGATTACCTAATAGCTCTGCTTTTCAGCTTCCTGAGAGTATACCATTAAATATCTGGGTAACATTTGAATAATGTTATCTACTAATGAAGAGATGATAAATTAAAAAATGAAAACTTCAGCAGAGGGCTTAATTACTGAAGTCACTGACACTTGGTAAAACAAATGCTATGTCCTCCAGAGAAGATTGCCTTTTCAGGCTTACCCAGACTGTGTCGAGCTCACCTTCTCCAGTCCGTGTGGTAGAAATGGTCTGCATAGCTCACAATGCTGAAGGGGTAGTTGAGGTTGTTTTGAATGACATGCCGTCCAGTTCCATCAGGTAGTGTACACTCCAGTTTCTTCGTTCCTTTGAAAACATCAAAAAGGGAAAATAAGATACTTTCATACCATGGGGGAGAAAAACTCCTTGCCAAAAATAATAGTGGCAGGTAGATTCTGTCTTAAAGGTAGAATAAGAAAGATTTTATTCCCATTGCAGTGATAGATATTAAAACTAAAGTTTTTTGTTCTATTACCAGTCTTAAATTTGTTTAATAGCATTCTAGTTTTTAATAGAGTTTTAACTTAATCCTTTTTTGGAAGAAAGGATTGCATTTACAGAAATCTGGCCAAGTTTCTCCCAAAGCAGGGCATTAGAGATAAATAAGCTTTTTTAACTAATTGATATAATTTCAAGTATTAGATCATAAATTATAAATATAACCTTGGGATAAATATGTGCCCTTTGTAAGTAATGTATAATAGCCAATGCTGCATCTTAACTAAAATTCTTAATTTTTAAAAAAATACTGTGTTAGTTTCTAGATAGGAATAAAAAGTAAAGTGGCAACATGGCTCATATTTTTCAATATAAAGGGAGTCAATTGTGAAAATTTTGCAATAGCTAAGTAACCAAGTTAAAAATTCCCCAGTTTCACATTTCTTATGGGACCTGGATTTAAATTTCAAATACTTTAAAAAAAAAAAAAAAGTAACTTGTTTGGGCAACTAACTGGGTTTTAATAGTGATCCATGTGCATTATAGTCCCTTTTATTAGATTTTAAATTCTTCAGGAACAGCCTTTTTCATATTCTTTAGTTTATAACTAGACATACAGCATCTTTTCAGTTGTGCTGATAGTGAAATCACACGACAGAAAAAGTTAGCCTAGGTATTAGCGACCCAAACCTAACTACCGAGGGAAACCATGCTGCCCCATCACTTTTCAGAGGATTTCCTCGGCATAGTTCGCATTTTGACTGCTAAACAGACATTTATAAATTTATAATGCTGGCCAAATCAAAAAACCACCTATAACGTCTTGTTCATTTATCTAAGTCTGTTCATTCCAACAGTGGGTAATGTCTCTTTTCAACTTAAAACATATGCAAGTGCTCATGTGGGGGAATCGCATGCAGCACAAAAATGAGTTGGACATAATACGAGCCCAGAAACTTAACTGCCTAATTCACATTCACACCCTAAAACCCTAGGAAGTTCATTACAAAGAGTTCTTCTAAAGTTTATATACCAAAGGAGTTGATTATATATGCTGTACTGTTACAAGTTTAAGCCAAAAGATCTAAAAGATGGCATTTGGTTTTGTTGTAAAATCTGTTTGTGTCAGCACCATTGTAATGAAGCAGTGTGTTTGCATTCCAACAGTAGTATTACCTGCATCTGCCCAGCACAGCAATTTGGACAAGGGGTCAAAGGTTAAACCATTGGGGAGCCCAATGTCTTGATTCACCAGAATTCTTCTGTTTTCTCCATCTAAAGATGACATTTCAATTTTAGGAGCTTCTCGATTCCAGTCTGTCCAGTACAAGTTGCTGTAGATAAATTATACAGAAAAATATATATACCTGAATGTGTAGAACTCAGATTTCAGAACCATTTTTGAGGCTTTTTTCACTTGATATTTGTGAGTCAAAACACTTTGCTGAAGTTTAAGCTGAATGTTTTCTTCACCGATTGAAGGGTTTCTCTGGAATTTCATTTGGTAGAAGCCCCATTGAGTATCACAAGAGCTTCTCAAGGTATAAAAATCCTCCCTGGTTCTAACAAGTGCTGGAACATTGACTAAGTTATATGTCCCAGGTGATGACTTTTGTACTTACAGACGAGGAACATTTTATTCTTGATTTTTGCTACAATGAAAGTGAGGCCTCAGAAAGAAAATGCTGGGTATGTGAATTTTGGTTACTTCTACCAATTAATGACGTAAACCCTACTGTGGTTTTAATACTATGATGCTGCTGAAGGAGACCCACTTACTCCTGTTTAAGTGTTAACTTCAGACAAGACATACTTCATCTGATAAAAAGTAGAACAGTGCCTGACGCCTAGAAAATCCTCAATAAATATTGTTAAATTAATGTATTTGAGCTTTTCTGCTTGTGTTCTGACCCTCCCCACGCCACATTAAATTCCAAATACTTTAAATCAGGATCTACAGGTAATGGAGAGTCAGGGAACCCCAGCTGACCCTTGGATCGGATCCACAGCGATGGCTCGGGGGTTCACCAGGTCTGTGTGGAAGAGTGCCTTGCGCTCGGAACCGTCCAGCTTGGCCCTCTCTATCTTGTCCAGGCCACTGTCCGTCCAGTACATCATTCTACGGAAGTGGTCAATGGCAAGTCCTTCAGGGCTTATCAGACCTGGAAATAAAACAGGCAGGACTGAAGTAGAGGGATACATGTTTGAACAGTTTAAAAAAAACAGTTTTGAGAGTCTCTTAAGTGGGAAGAATCAGGTTAATGGAGAAACAGATCTTTTTTTTTTTTACTTTTCCTACCACTGGTTTCCTCTGGACCAGCAATTTTCATTTCATGGCACACATCAACTACTAAAATTCTGCAGCACAATAAAAAATATATTTTTGCCGATTTGACCAAAAAAAATAGGTATAATTTTGATTCATTCACATTGGATGGCTATTGTGTTGGCTATTGTCATTTTTTTATTTGACAGTCTAAGGGAAAAGAGGTCAGTGCCCCTGGCAAAATAGTCAGGTATTGCATGTTTTAAAAATTCTTGCGGCCCACCAGCCTGATGGCCTAGGCATCCACAGTGCTAGGCCAGGCGCATGACCTATGGCCACATGCTGCATTTTCACTGTAAGCCCCTTTTTACTGAATTCCCAATAGAAAGGGCCCACAGTAAGAATCACCTCCTCATTCCTTTGTGTTTGTTTATATAGAGAGGTTTTTGTGCAGCTCAAAAACGTGACAACCTCCCCCCACCTCCTGCCCCCGCCCCGGTCATATGAAAATAGAGGGGAGACTTTGGCATAAAATAGGCAAGTAACTTGGACTTAGTAGAATCAAGTAAAATGCATACTAAGTGTCTTGGTGAAGCTGCTGACCTGAGTTAATGATTGTCTCGGGCTCTGCTCCCGGTTCCAGACTGGCACGGCTAATCGTCCGTCCAGCGACATCTGTCCAATACACCTTCCTCTCCCGGCAGTCGTAGTCAATTCCCACAACTATGGAGCCCTGTGTTGACCAAAAGAGAACTGGAAGAATTAGGACTCGCGTTCCCTGAGTGCATGCTCAGCTGCCTCACTCATGCATGGCTGCAGTGAACAGCCCCGCACTGTTGTCTTACGGGCAGCCAAGCTGAGTGGTTAGACATACAGGCTATGGAGGCCGGCTTCTTGGAGTCAGTCAAGCTTGGTCACTTGCTATCTGTGTGACTGGTACTTGAGCTTTCTGTGTCTTGGTTTCCTCATTTCCAAAATGAAGATAACAGTACCTACACTTCATATGTCTGCTTTAAAAATTAATACCATAAATGCTTGAGAAGTGTCCTAATTAGTCATTAATATGCAGTAAGCCCTCAATAAACACTGTTACTGTTGGGAGTAAAAAGTGAATTCATGAAAAAAAAAAAAAGCCCATTTAGTGATGGAGGACAAAGGTCAGTCTCAGCAAAGTAAGGCCTTAATATTTTACTGGGCAAAAACTGTGACTCCTTTAAAATGTTATCAGCACTTTTTGAATGAGCCTTTCTAGAATTTGCCAACATATAACAAGATCTCTCCTTTCCCCTTGATATGAGATCTTTCTACTAGGTGAGGAGCAATCACTCTTACCCCCAACTCTGGCTCCTGCTGCAAAGCAGTTCTTTGGCTGTACTCTTAGGTAAAAGAAAGTCTACCATTTTAGGCGTTAGGGAACTGGGGGAGTGGTGGTCACTCAGCTTCTGGTAGGGAGGTCTCCCCCTTCCTTATTGCTAAATAACTTGCGGAGTCTTTTAAAACGCTGCATCGGTGATGTTCCTTTCCAAATCTCTGCAGAGATTTGCTTCATTCAATATCCAACCCAGATTCCTGCTTTGAGAAGTCCAGCAGATGTGCAAACCCAACATGTAGGGGCCATCTGGCTGTCCCCGAGGTCACGCCAGCTTCTGCTTGCCTAACAAAGCCTGGGGCTGGCCTGACTTGAGCCTCTAGGAGAGGAGTCATTACAAGAAACACTGTACAAGCAGGATGTGGCTCCTGTGGAAAAGTGAACAGTTTATATGGGGAATAGGAGCCTGAAGGTCAAGTACAAATGTACTTGAAAATTTAAAAAACTCATCTATCTCAGGCAAGAATACACATCATGTGGGATCCGTTAACCCAGGCATCACGGGATCTATTAACCCACAAAATGACTTCAAAATTATTCAGAGGGAAAAGTCCAGTTTAAGTAAATTTCCCCAAAATGTACTTAGGACCCATGCTTCATGTCCACTTCAGTTCCACCACCACTGTCCTCATGAGGGGCAGGTTCAGAAATGCTGTGAAGCCATTTGACATGGCTTAGCCGAATTAAATAGACATTTACCTTGCGATAACTTAGGAGTTTCTACCTCTTTAGTGAAACTTTTATAAAAGAGCATGCTAAGAGTTTGCCAAGAAAACACAGAAAAAAACAAATCTTAAAAACAAAGGAAAAAAAAATCTCAGAACACTAGTTGCTTCTAAACTTTTTTGGAACCAGATAAGGAGTTAGTGCATCAACAGAAGTAAATGTAAACGCGGACACTACTATTCTTTGTCTCATAGATAAGCAAGTACCTGGAGCGTAAAGTTTAGAAATGGAATCAGACCATTTTCCATTATGTGTCACTGTCTTTTTGGTGAACTCCCTTCTCTCGTCTCCATTTTAGAGAAGAAACCCCTCCTCCAAAATGGAATGCCTTGACAGGAGGGAGGCTGCTGGCTCAGGGAGCTGCAGGCGCTCCCTAGGGAAAGCGCCGCCCACTCCTCTTCCAGCATCACACTCCCCAAATCTTCCTCTGAAGGAACCCGGGATGATGAAAAAGCCAAAATGGGAGTAAGAGGGCCGCAACAATGAGGCAGTCATTGTAAGATTTACACTTGGGGTTCTCCACTGACCCCAGAAACCACACCCTGCAGCTATTCCAGTTGTTTTCATTTCTAGATCTCTGGAAACATCTGGGGCATTGAAAGAACCTGGGGGCTTGGGTTAAGAGTGTTTTCCCTTGGATCACCATACTGCCACAGCATCCTGACAACTGTGAAGTGCCCTCTACCCTTTCCACGTATCGGAAACCCCGTGAGCCAACCAGCGGCAGGCAGCCTTCATCAGCCAGAATGAGTCCTGGGAAGATAGAGCCGCACTTTCTGTGGGGCTGGCGTCAGGCCCATGGAGACAGGCTGCAGCCCAGAAGTCCTTCAGAACCCCCCTCCACCTCAGGCCCTCCCCCAGATCTTGCAGCCCCGTGCAGCTCCGCCCCCGCAGGAGAAATCCACTTTACATGCAGTGACAGCAGGGTCTTGGCCATGTCCTTCTGAAGCCTGGTACCGTTGAGGGGCAAGGAGCCAATCTGCTGGCCCTGGGCAAAGAGCAGGAAGGTGCCCACGGACGGAGGGGTTACATCAGGCCGGGGTGCGGGCCGGACGGAGGGTGGCGCCACCGTCGGTATACCTGCCGTGGGAAAGGGGAGGACGGTGTGAGGAGCAGAGAGGAACGGAAACGAGGGTGGGTGGGAAGAGAGAAGAAAAGTTACTTTCCCACAGACCAGAGCCTCCCAAAACATCAAAAGTTCTTAAACCTAGACAGATGTGCTCCAGATGTTCCCTTAAATTCTAATTTCTAGGTTTTTTCAAGGATCAATTATGTAAATCACTACCAATTAGTAGGGAGGAAAAAACAACACATTTCCTTCAGAACAAAGCAGGTTTTTGGTTTTTTTCTTTTTAAGGGGGAAAACTCAGAGCCAGTGTTGTGTCAGCCTCTCTTTGGGGCCCCGGGGTGACACGCGTCCTCTTTCGCCCTGGGCTGGGGAAGGGGAGTAACTGCGTGCGGAACTGAGTTCCAGATGTTCTAATTACAGAAACTGCTAATGACAAAACCAAACATTAAGTCCAAATTGGGATCTTGGGTGGATCAGATTATAAATCCCCACAGCACAGTAGTGACTTCTTTCATTGGATCTGTTGACCCCTTGTTTACCCATCTTCACTCACTGCCTCCCTGCAGAGAAACCTCAAATGCAGCCGAGGCGAGCAAGGGCTGCCCCCAGGTGCTTACATGCAGGGGTGACGCCTGCCTGGGAGCGGGTGCCCTCCACCTCTCTGCCGTCTTTGTCCACACACCAGCAGAAGTCACTCTTCCCATGGCACTGCATGGGGATGAACTGGCCCAGGTCGTCGCACTGGGGCACGTACTGGTCGTCCCTGGGCGTGCCACCGTAGTGCTCCAGCAGGCTTTCCCTCCAGCGCTCACAGACGGTCGGGGCCCTCTGGGTGGGCGCTGAGCAGATGGGACAGAAAAAGCCTTTGATTGTAAGCCAAGGACAGCACAGCATGCAGCTCAAGAGCCCCATGCCTGTCCTCCTGGCCCTCGTCCTCCTGCGCTTTAGCGAGGCCTCAGCCAAGCCCCTGAGCACTGGACCAGAGCAGTAAAGCAGCTCTCCACAGGAATCAGGAGAAGCAGGTCATCTTGATGCTCTGTCTTCTCAGGCCAGAAGGACCTGCCATCAGGCCCCACCACGAGGAAAGAACAAGAGCAGGTTGAGATCGGGGTGCAGGGCTCACTCACCTTTGGGAAGGGGAGCGATCTCGTCCAGACAGGAGGCCCACACAGACTGCTCTGCCCAGGCCCAGAGCCTCTGCTAACAGAACACCTGGGGGGCTCTGTGGCCTACATGATGCCTAAAGCCAGTATTCATTCTTCCTTATTTGCTTCAGACTCTAGGGCTTGCATCTGAGAGGGTTATCTTGCGACTGACCGGCTCATCTTGGAAAGCATCACTGAATGTCTGACTTATGTGGCCCATAGTATCTGTCCTTTGGAGGACTATATTGAGTGAAAGTATAACTTACTGGAATCGGTATGTGGGGGCACAACAGAGGTGGTGACGCTCCAGTTCCTAGTAGTCCTCTAGTCACACTGTTCCTGGGATTATCTCCAAACGGAACCTTTTTCTGTGGGCTCCGCCTTCCCACCATGTTGCTCTGCCTCCTTCCTGCAGCATCCTCCCCCTCTTCCTGCCCTCCTAGTTCACACCAGGCTTAACCCCCAGGAGCTTCTCTTGCGGGGCAGCTTCTCTACCTGCAGCACTCCCAGGCTGCTTTGACACGGCCACCATCACGCTGTTCTGAACGTGGCAGTTCTCTGAGAGGACTCTGCTATCACTGCCGAAATAACTCTTAGAGCCGTCTATGATAGGATTACCTCAAGTAACTGAAATAGAAGGTACTTCCTTTTTATGTCCTGCAGCTCAAAGCCTATGTGGTGTGTAGAATCATCTGGCCAAGTACCTACTTGATACCACCATTTGGAGGTATACCAGCAGTCTCAGCAAACTAACAAAAACTGGGCCCCTGGACTTTTCCTTATTTATAAATTGCACCTCCATCTTTCCATTGCTCGGATCTAACCATCCTTGACTCCTTAATTCGTCTTGCTCACCACATGTCGAGAAATGTCAGCAGTAGCTTAAAAATACATTTGGAGTGTCTTCACTGCTCACCTCACCCCCCATCACCCTAGTCGAAGCCCCGTCGCCTCGTGCCAGGATCACTGCAATAGCCTTCTCACTGGTTTCCCCACCTCTACCCTCTCTCCCACCCTCAGGGTAAACTCAACCAGCAGCCAGAATGAGTCCCTTTAAAACTCAAGTCATTTCATGTCATTCCTTTGGTCAAAACCTCCAACGGCTGCAACGAACCAAGTTGGAAATACTGCAGTTGGGCTCCAATACCTACCATTCCTCTAGGAAAGTAAGAAGACGATGCATAAAATCCTCAGGGCTCAAACCCAAGTAGCTCAACTACAAGACTCACCAGGTTTGGGAGAAGGAGATGCCTTTCAGGCCGTCTCCACAGCTCATGAGCCACGGGAAGCCCAGCTCTTGTTGAGACCTCACAGAGCAGGGAAGACTGACTTCCTCACCCAGGTGTGTCTCAATGAACCCAGAGAGGGAAATGCCACCTCCTCGAACACTTGCTGTCCGTCGCAAGGGTGGGGTAGCAGGGGTTCCCTGGAGAAGTTCCCAACACTGCCGCAGGTCTGCATTCCAAACTCAGGAGCCATTCTTGGTTTGGGGGACCACCCAATGAGGAACATCTCTTTGGAATGAGGACACCCAGCACAGTCAGCTTCTGGGAAATGGGCACCACACCTCACTCAACACGTGGGCAACCCTCTCTCTCATTCCTTACTATTTGCAGCTGCTTCCCGATCCAACCATGGAATTATTTGTCTTCTGTTTCTGGTTGGCAAGGTTTTAAATATTTCGAAATTGTGGGCAGAAAGCGTTCTCTCCTCCTTCAAGCTGACCCTATTATGCAGATGAGACTAGTCAGAAACGGCAGCCAAGAGGGGAGCCTTGGCCGTGGGAAGGCGTCTGCCCAAAAGAACATGCCCCTCTTAGTCATTAACTTCTCATTCTATTGGCTCCCTTTTGAATCACTAGCCTTAACACATGCTTGTCTTAATAAATGTAATAGAATTCTCAACCATTCCCCTAAGGAACCTCCCAATCATCTGATTTCTTTAAATCCCAGCTGGAGTTAGAATCAAGGGTTTTAAAACAGTAGGCTTGAGTGAAACAGAATTTCTCTGTCTTCTTTTTTTTTCTTTTGGGGGTGAAGGGGAGGCAAAATCTTTTCCTGAAAATAGGGACAGAAAATAGGAACTAGGAGTGTCACTGTGGAAACAAGGGTATACAGCTAGATTACGCATTACCAATTTTTACCTATATGAATCTTAGAATCACTAATGTCCTGGCCATAACAATATTAATAAAAGGATCCAAACTGGTGGTAATTCTCCAACTCTTCATACTCACATACATAAAAAGCCAAGGCTAGTATTTATGAAATCCTTTTCAATACTAAAAATGGATCTTTGAATAGCCAGCTCATTGGTACAGAAATTAGTTTGGCTAAAGTGGTCTCATACCACTCCTACGTGCTTCATGGGAAAGTTCTTCTGTATTTTTTTTTTTAAGTCCTTCCCAACTCTGAACAGTTCAGCTAGGAGCGGAAACCTGCCTTGGCAACCTGTAGTTGGCATGAACTGTGAGCACTCGATAAGCATGCCCCATCGGGATGGGGTGCTCGGATGGTAACAGCCATGCTTGTCATCAGCGTCCAGGATCACAGGGGCTAACAGGACAGGTCCCTGCTTCTCCTCGGAAGGCAGCAGGGACAAGAGTGATTCCCCACGAACCTGCTGGGCTGGCCAGAGAGGGCTGGGGTTATTAGTTTAGAGCAAACCCGCTGCATCCACCCACCAGTGATATACTTATTTTTCCTAATGGTATTAAAACAGCCTTCAGACAGTTTCCTGCAATTCAGAAGGCAAAGTTAGTTGATAGAAAGTTACATAGGAGGGTAGTTTTTCTTCTGGACAAAGAGCTGGTCTGGCGAGATCCTCTAGCTCCAGTGTCGCTAAGCTGCCCCGGCAGATCTGGGGCAGTGGCCTCAGCCTGACCCACACACTCAGTCTCCACTTCTAGTCTTATGCTAGACCAGGGTCTAGGAGCCTGGAGCACAGCGCGTGACAGTGATCTCCTATGTCACGTGTGCACGTCTCTGTGTCCCTGTAACATGAATGCACACATAGGTGCGCACATCATTCAAGTGTTCCGAGGAGGAAGGGTTTAAATCCACCCCACAGCCAGGGCCGTTCTTCTTCCCAAGCCCAAGGCCTAACCAGGCACAAGGTTTCTTTCCAGATTGGCTTACCTGGCGGTTCGCAGTGAGGTGGATTGGAGCCGGGCGGTGTCCGGGTACCAGGGACTTCGTGACCGTCAGGGTTCACACACCAGCAGAAGCCGGTGCCGCCATGACACTGCAGCGGCAGGAAGCGGCCCTGCTCATCGCACTGGGGGACGTGGACCCTGGCGCCAGGGTAGGCACGCTGAGCCTGGGCATCGCGCTGCTGACGTTCACAGGCTTTCAGCCCTGCTGTGGTGTCTTCCAGAGCGGGGGCAGAGGGGACACAAAGCAGGGACAGAAGGCATTGCAACCCAGACAGTATTAGGAGCCAACCCCAAGGTCTCTTGTCTGAGGTTTTTTTCTTCTATAATTGGAAGGCAGCATGATGTGGGGAAAATAGCAAATTATTGGGATTTGGGAGTCCTGGATTCTTATTTTAACTCTGCCACTAACCACCTAATATCTCCCTAATCTCACAGTTCCCCGGTAAGTCCCTAGGCTGATTACACTGTAAAGCAGCCCCTCCCCTGTGCCCTCCAGCTCCTATTTTTGTCTGGATAAAATGAAGAGCAACCATGTCTTCTGTCCAAACATCCCAAGAGGCTCTGGAGAAAACATGTCAAGCTTTGTCCATCCCCTGAGGTCCAGAGTTTAGGTCTGAGATGCTCCAGGTCAATGGCTATCACTAGACTGCCCTGTGCAGGCCAAGCTCGAGAGCAGTCACGTGGGAGCTTGCTCCCAGCTCGCTAGTGCACAGGACTCCTGTTGAGTAAACTTAAGCTCAATACTTCTTCTAAATCGCACTTATCAAGGCAAAGCGGGTCACTAGGGCAGTTACCCAGCACTGCCACTAGGCAGGACAATGGATGGATCACATTCCAGGCCTCCCAGAATGCTAACCGCCAGTAAACTATCAGTAACCCAAGCAGCTGGTGGTAACTGGGAAAAATCCAGTCTGCTACTAACTACGGCCTTAGACCTGGATGAACTGAGAGTGGGCTGAAGTGCTATAGAAAAATACCATGTTTTGCCGTGTAAAACGCACAGTTTTTTTTACCACATTTTTGAGGGAAAAATAAGGGTGCACATTATACATAGGTATAATGATTACATAACATGGGTATAATAATCCCATGTATAATGTGCACACAACCGCGGGTGTGCATTATACACAAGAGCAAGGAGTTGGGAGTCCTCTATGCCTAATCTGACCTCCACACCTTACCAGGTGTGCACTGATGTCCATCCCCATGATAGCCAGGTTGGCAGCGGCAGGAGAAGGAGCCAGGGGTATTGTAGCAGGTAGCCGAAGGGTGACATCTGTTTTCCGAGCATTCATCAACATCTGCAGAGGTCAGACCAGGGACAGAGTCGGGGAGGGGAAGGACAGCATGACTTCACTGCACTCAGTCTGTGCTACTACTTGGCCTTTAGCACACGAGGCGCAACAATGAAGGGTCAACTTCAGAAGACCTTTGGGCACGAGCAGAAATACGACACAGAAAGGCAAGCCTAACTGTACATGGTCAGGGCTGTGTGAATTAATCCATTAGGATGTTCAGTGTAGAAATCATGTGCGTGGTCACTTGAAAAATAGGCCCTGCAGTCTATTCCTAGAGCAGCTTTCATCTACAGTGAAGTCCAGGGAGTTATTACCTGGGCACTAACCTTTAGACCATAAATCATTCATTTCCTTTCAGTAATACTACAGTAAATAATATGTAACAATAACTTTTCCCTTTTGTTGTTGGCTCCGTCTCCCTATGGCACTGATGGACAGAGACAGAGAAGTCCCCGGAGGCCCCAGATACTTTTTCAAGTAAGAAGCACTAATCTAAGAAGTCTTGCCCAATCAGAGCCCTACAGTCTAGGAGCCCAATTCATCAGCAATTTTCCTTTCTATTTTTAGAAGAAATAGAAAAATATAAGAAAGCTATTATCAGAGGTTTTGAAACAACATATTTAAAAAATCTTAAGTTTATCAGGCTTGTAAAGTGCAAACAATTCAGAAACCACACCTCCCCCAAACACACACACATGTTCTCTACATAGTACCATGAGGATTTTCATAGTTCTCCAAACTACAACATCCTGAAACTTAAAAAAAAAAAAAAAAAAAAAAAAAAAGCCAACCTATATTCCTTTTATTTACTGAAATCAGCACATGCTGACAATAGCAAGGCACTGCCCCCAAAAAACAAACAAACAAAAAATCCCTGAGAGTCCAGCTGTTAAAACCAATGCCCAGTGGTTGAAATAAACTGTTTTTCAAGACAGGAAATCTTCCAGAGTTAAGAGGACGAGGCAGGTGTAGGTCTGATCAAGGTGCCACTACAAATAGTCACATCCACAATGACATCCAAAATCGGTTTTCAAAATGTGTAAATATGAAATTTACACCTTTTGGGATGGGGTGATCAGTGTGCAATTTAGAAAACAGGAATCCTAGAAGATTTGAACTGCAACAATTTGGAACAGCCCATGGCAAGGACACATTGGACCTGGGAAGCTGGAGATGACGGCCCTGAATTTGATGTGAATTGGCTGAGGACAGACGTGGCTCCTGGCCCAGCCTCCCGTGGCCCTGCTGGAATCTCTTCAGGTGTTATCAGTGCCACCCTGGCTGCGACCACACCCTTACTGAGCCCCTTTCCCATGACCAGGGGGTTGTCCCAGGTCCTAGTAAGCAGACACATCGGACATTTAACAGACTTTCTGTTCACAGCAGAGGAATCTCTTACACTGTCATTAGCAAATTAACATTCTGCTTATCCTCAGTCTCGGGGGAGTTTAGTCAACATAAATTAGTTCCCTTAAGTCCAAAAAAATCCTGAATGATTGACACAGCCAAGTTCAATGCCACCCAGAAAGGCTCTGCTCACATGAGCAATTGGCCTCCATGATCAACTTCCTACCACCTTCAAAGGCAGAAATGTAGTTATGAATTCATCTGCAGCGTTAGAAACAAAGAAGTTTTCTGGCTAGCTCCTCAGTTAACCCAAAATAAACAGAATGAAAACAATTACAGCAAAAACCTTATCTCCAGCTAATGAATATGAGTTCCATATTGTCATATTGAATTATCTTTGAGATTAGCATTCTGTCTCTTCTAAAACACAATTCAAATTCCCAGCTGGGCAAAGCTAGGGACCATCCAGTTCCTTGGGCCTAGAAGAAGCTGTAAAACCAAAGCTATAAAAATTAACATCCAGCCAAATGCAGGAAATCAAAGCTATTCATAATACGTATGCTGAAAGTACCTCTCATGGTGACAGGAACCCAGGCAATGACAGGAAGCAGGAATTCCTGAGGCACAGGGCGTATTTCTAGAACCCACGGGTCAGTCCCTTGTGATTATTTTTGAACTGCAAGGGGACTCCCCAGAGCTGCCCAATCACTTCTGTTCTTCAAGCCTTTGGCCTAGAATTCTGACCAGACCTGAAAGGGCAGCTGTCCTCCAACTGACACTGAAGTCGTGGACAGAGAGTAACTGTTAGGAATGACCAACAGGGAGAAAGTCACTGAAGAAACTAAAAGCATCGAAAGTGAGAAACCTGTCCCCCAAAAGTTGGGGAATGTTAAAGCTCCCTGAAGCACAGTCGGTGACACCTCCTGGGAGGACCTCGAGCCGGGACCCTGGAAACCAGAGCCCTGTCAGCCTTCCAGGGTCAGTTCAGAGCAGGCTATGGCCCCTCAGGAGTGCAAACGCTGAGGGCTTTAGGGATAACTGGAGTTTTACCTTTCTTGTTTGTTTTAATCTTCACCTGAGAACATGCTTATTGACTTTCAGACAGCAGGGAAGGGAAGGAGACAGGGAGAGAGAAACGTCAATTGGTTGCCTTCTCACACCCTGGCCCAGGACGAAACCTGCAACCCAGGCCTGTGCCCTGACTGGGAATTGAACCTGCAACCTTTTGGTTTATGAGGCGATGCTTTAACCAGCTGAACCACTCAGCCAGGGTGTAACTAGGGCTTTTGTGTAGAAGAACTCTCCCCTATTTCGCATGATGTCAGGTGTCAGGAGAGAAAATATGAAGACTTCCAGCTCCCTGCAGAGGGAGGAGCTTTCCTTGGACCCCGAGGGGCAGGGGGTGCATTTATGCTTAACAACCACTGCCAGGGGCTGTTAGAACACTGAGGTCAGGACAACAACGTTCAAGGCAGAGCAGGGCTCCTTTACCACTCAGATATCGAAGGATGGCACAATCTCAGCATAATTCTCCTTTCTATCATCCATTAAGCTGGCAAAAAAAAACCTGTTTGGAAAATGTGATAAAAATACTCCACTTTGAGTTCATGCTTTCATGGTTCAACATTCTCCTCATTGCCCTAATTCTGAGCCCACACCCCAAATCGGCTGAAATCCCTTCAAAACAAACCCAAATAATGAACTCTAGTTCCCCCTTCCCCCTGCAAACTGTCCTCACAAACCTAACCAGATTACACCTTAGTTCTTAAATCACTACCTTTAGATTAACAGCTGCTAACCTCATGGATCAATGGAGATCATTAAAAAGACAGACACTTGTCTTTTATAAACATAGTGCTAGAGGACTCCATGAAAGACAGAGAGTATGGCTCTTACCCACACAGCTCCGTCCATCTCCCTGGTACCCGGATGCACACTTGCAGGTGTAATCTACACCTGTCCCTGGATGACACTGAGCTGTCGTATCACACATGTGGGTCCCATCGTAGCACGGATTCACTGGTGCGGGGGCCGGGTCTTTTGTGTGGGGAGAGAAGAAATAAAAAACAAAAGCAAAATCGGGCTGTTGTTAAAAGAACGGCACAGAAGGGAAATCTAAGAGTTGTTGGAACTTAACTGTACACTTGTCTGTGTTTGGGACCCATATGGCAACCTTACTAAATTATTAATACCCAAAGCTAGGATAGTTTATTTGCACTGTAGTTTTAAATTCCAGAATGGCTTCCTCTTGCCTACTTTATATACAACTAAACTGTTCTTGCTTACAGTAGATTTGTGTCCAGGGACTAAAAATATCCAGTACATGGCATCCTTTTATTTAAAAATACTTTTGGTCTGTCATCTCATGTGATTCTCAGGATAATTCTATGAGGTGGACTTTCATCCCCATTATCAGTAATTTTTACAGATGAGGAGAGTAAGAGAGATGAAAAACTGCCCAAATTCACAAAGCCAGGAAGTGGTACAGCAAGGACCAATATCCCAAATTTCTGCTTCCAAATTGGGCAATTTCTCACTAAAATTCACTATAAGTCAAAATTCAATTAATGAGAAAAATCTTGTTTTCACAAAACAAAGAGGACTGATTTTTACAGCATTTACTTTTTAGGATTAGCCTTGCCATGGACCCACCCATCCACTAGATAGTGATGACTGTTAACATCTGAAATCTTCCCTAAATAATTTTATTTCTAGATACAACGTAATAGTAATGCTTATTGAGCTCTTTACAAGATATGCCAGGCTGTATTCTGAACCCTTTACATACCATCCCATTAAATCCTCAAGACTACACGGTGAAGAAGGTATCATCATCATCTTCATTTTTACTGCAGTGCAGAGAGGCTGAGTAACCCACCCAACGCCACACAGCTAGAGGAGACGGGTGAAGCCGGGAGAAAAAGCCAGGCAGTCTGGCTCCAGAGACCACACTTTCTACCACTTTGCTACATCTCAACCAAAGGGACTTCACAGAGTTATCTAGTCTAAGCCAAGGGCACAGAGATGATGGTGTTTGAGAGAGCCCCAAACTCCCAGGCAGGATGAATCCATTAACCATGAGCACTTCCATTTACACCTCTGATTCCTCATGCATAAAATGAGTACATAAATGCTGCTTATATCACCAGAACTACTGAAGAAAGAAAGAGAGAAAGAGAGAAAGAAAGAAAGAAAGAAAGAAAGAAAGAGAGAGAGAAAGAAAGAAAGAGAGAGAGAAAGAAAGAAAGAAAGAAAGAAAGAAAGAAAGAAAGAAAGAAAGAAAGAAAGAAAGAAAGAAAGAAAGAAAGAAAGAAAGAAAGAAAGAAAGAAAGAAACTCAACACCGTGTGTGAGAAGCGATTCCCCGCAGGTAGGCCTACCCAGTTCCCAGTGACTGTGTTCCTTCCCCCTCCTCATTTGAGGTTCTCTCTTTGTCTCAATCTCTAGAATTAATTCTAATCTTAGATTAGAAAGATTGCAGGAGCCCCACCCAAACCTCCCAGGCCTTCATCAAGCCATCTCTGCTACCGATGGGGCTCCATTTTAAGGCATGATCAGTTGGATTTCTGTGCCTGAGTCCCTGTCTTGACATCCAGAACTGAAGGAGCTGTTAAGAACAAGGCGAGGTGTTCTTAACAGCTCCTTCACTTCTGCAGAAACCAGCATCTTGGCTTCTGTGGAGAGACTGCAACAATACCACCTTCTTTAACTTCCAAGTACCTCCTCCTTCTGGATTCCCTCCCATTTCTGTGTCTCTCACCCTTACCAGCCTTACCTCAGGTGGGTGGACCCTGCCCAAAGTAACTCCTAGTCTGGACCCAAGTGCTTGCTGCTATCGCCTGTCCCATGGACTGGACTTCCTCCCAGGCCTTCAGGATACCTGGCCACCTCCCCAGTCCTTGCCACACTGCCCACACGAGGACTCTGCCAGTTTTCTGTGAACTGGGATGCCTTGGCTGAGTCCCTGATGGGACACCCTTGCTTTCTGGTAAACTCCTACCATCTGCTTTATAGGAAACACCAGTGTGTTCCCGCAGTGGGATATTCTCATGCAACTGATTCCCATGTTATGGCCTGGGAAAAAAAAGGCAGGCCATGGATTTATCCTTGGTTCACCTCAATGACACTGGCTGGAGTAGCAGCATCTTTGCTGTTACCAACAAATGTTACCAACAAAAGAGGACCAGCAAATGGCTCCAGCACTTGTCAAACCTAATGAACTTAAGCATGCCAGCAGAAGCTTAGCCCCCAAACCACACAGACATCCTGGGACGCCCCTCATGTCTCCCTCTGGATCTCTTGGCAGACGAGACATAAGCGCAGCACTGGGGTTGTGGTTATTGGGTTAACTTAATAGTATGGACCAAGTTCCTGAGTCAGTCCCCAGCATGGGTTCCAGTTAACAACAGGGTCATGTCCTCACCGAAGGCCCAATGTCAGGCCTGATTCTCCCCCGTTATTATTTCCCCACATTTGAGGAGAAGATTCTGTACAAAATGCCTGGCCTACCCAGCCAAAGGGGGATGTGAGTTTCAAAATGTTTTAATTTATAAGTACTAATGCTTAAGCTTCTTGTTCAGTACGTTCCAGCATCAAATTTTCACTGTGGCACATTCCAGCAAAGATTAGTGAGTATATAAGAGCTTACCACCCTGTGAGGCATACAAAAGTAAAAAAAATGCAACACAAAAGTTGACTTGCAACCTTGGACAGGATACACTGACTGGCCTACCTGAAGTGGAGGGGCAATGTCTATAATTACATGATACTTATTTAAAATATACTTCGCTGACAGGACCAGCCACATAATTTGCAGAACCCAGTACTAAATGACACTGTCAAACCCCTTGTTCAAAAATTATCGTTTCAAGAAGACAACAGCAGAGCATTAAACCAAGTGTTAAAGTCCTTCCAAGCGTGGGGCCCCTTTTACTAAATTTGGTTTTCAAAAATATTATTTTAGAAGCACATTTCTAAAACCACATGACTATTCATTCTCTATGGCTTGCTAGCTTGTCTCCTATTATAGTAAGGAAAGGCTAGCAGTATCCTTCTTAAGACATTTTCTCTTTCACCCTCAACAGCTTGACTCTCTGACAGCGGATCTGGAACTAATTTACTCATTTAATCAAATAGGGAAGAGTGATTTTCCTTAAAGGAACAGCCCGTTCAGCTTCAGTGCAGGGGCCCTCTGCCCAAAGTCTCCTCTGCTCTACAGAAGGAGCCCCAAAGTGGGAGCAAGGGCAGGAGACAGCCAGCCCACACTGAAGCTCTAACACTCGGGGAGGGCGGGCAGGTGGCTGGGAGCCCTGAGTGGGAAGACCACAGCACCCCCCAGCCGCTGGGAAGCTAGGAGCTCCCACATCCGGGGGGCAGCTGAGCTGTTTCACAGACATTCCAACCAGATAATCACTCCCTCTGGAAAAAGTGAGAAATTCTTAAGAAGATACTGCTATGCACTGAAGGGGGAAAGAAAAAGAGAGTTTCTCTTTGCCATTTCCTCCTATGCAGGGTGCAAACATAAAGGGTTAAAAAGACACATTGCCTCTTGTAAAATTTGGTCTGAATTACGAGGAAGCCCCGGGGCCCACGGAGTCCACATGGAGCAGCAGTGCCATGTGGAGGAGCTGCGAGTGGGCTCTGGGGCCGGCGCCCAGGTTTGAGTCCAGCTCGTCACCCTCTCGCTGTGACCAGGCAAAGTACTTCCTGCCAGACCTCAATATCTGTAAAATGGGGTATTAATCCCCCTCCTGGGTCAACGTTGTTGTGGAAATTAAGTGAGTTAATTCATGAAGGTACTTAGTGTTTGGCTCCAAGTAAACCATCCTTTGTTATTACTCTCGTTATTATTAGACTTGGTTGGTGTACAAGGGAAAATCACATAAAATTTTAAAAACAAATTAGCAAATCGCCAGTTTGCTGCCTTTCTCTGACCCTTTGTTACTCCCATTTGGTATGTCTCTAGGAAAAATACATGCAGAGATCAATCTTTCCCCTAAATGATTCTGGGATCAGAATGGGCTCTGCGGCTGGGAGGCTCCTTCTGCTAATTGCTGTTTCACAGATCAGATGCCTACACCCAGCCAAGGGCCGGGCTGGACATTCAGAGGTGAAGGATGTTTTCCCCAGTTTTTGTTTCAGTCTCCCCTTCCAATGTACATGTTTCTCTAAAATCAAGTGACACTTCCATGCTCTTAATGCACTACCTTATAATCTCATCTTTGGACACCCAAGGCTTGTGTCCCATCCAAGTTTCCAAAAACCAAACTAACCTTCCACCCAAACCAACAAACTCAAGGTTCTCATTTCAAGTCACCCCTGCATCCTAGAAGAGTCTGGTCCTCTCACCTTAATAATATATTGCTTAAGTGGCGGTTTCACATTGAGACCAAGGAGGCTCAGGGAGCCCTCCCCTGTAGTGGTACGTGCATCACAGAATCACCTGTTAGTTACAGAATTCCCTCTTGAGGTACCGACCCTGACTCAACAGTCTCAGTATAAAAAGCTGCACGAAGGAGACATTCTCTTTCTCCTCAGGTGCCTCTTGTATTCTAGGGTAAAGCACCGCTTACTGGTTTTCAGAATGAAAATGTCCCCTTGATCTGATGTCATTTCCTACCTTTAGAGTTCCCTGACTTCACAGGCTTATCCTCTGGCTAGGACATTTTTAAAAATTAATAGACTTTATTTTTAAAAACAGTTTTAGGTTTATAAAAAAAAAAAAATTGAGCAGAAAATACTGATGAAAATACCTTCTTCCTGACCCAATTTGCAGTTTCCTCTATTATTAACATCTCATATTAGTGTGGTACGTTTGTTGTAACTGGTCAACCAATATTGGAATATTATTATTAACTGAAGTCCATAGTTTACTTTAGGCTCGCTCTTTGTGTTGTACATTCTGTAGGTTTTGACAAGTGTATAACGACAGGTATTCACCATCACAGAATCATACAGACCAGTTTCACCGCCCTAGAAATCCTGTGTTCTTTGCCTGTCCATCCCTTGCCTCCCCTCCTCACCTTGAATACCTGGCAACCACTGATCTTTTAAGTGTAGTGCCTCTGTATTTTTTCCATTCCTGGAAGGTCATATAGTTAGAATCACACAGTACATAGCCTTTTCAGACTGGCTTCTTTCACTTAGCAATATGCATGTAAGGTTCCTCATGTCCTTTGATGCCTTCATAGACCTAGAATATTTTTATCTACATTTTTATCAAAAATTACAGGTGAGGCTAATGCTGACTGAGGTATGAGAACCACTGCTTTAGAGTTGTGATTTTTGCCCCACAATTTTTTTAAAATTAAGGCATTATTCACATACCATAGAAGTCACTCATCTAAAGTGCATACTCCCTGCCAATGGAAATTTTAAAAATTGAAAAAAAAAATAAAATGCACAATTAAAGAGTTAATAGTATATTCACAGAGTTGTGCAACCATCCATCACTACAATCAATTTTAGAACATTTTAACCGCCCCCAAAACAAACCATGTGCCCTGTAGATATCAGTCCCCTAGTCCCCTGTTATTTTCTCAGCACTAGACAACCACTAATCTACTTCTGTCTCTGTGGATTTGCCTATTCCAGAAATGTTACGTAAATGGAATCATGCAACATGTTTTCTTTTATGACTAGTTACCTTCACTCAGCATCTTTTCAAAGTTCATCCATATTGTAATGTGTATTAATCTTCATTCCTTTTTATGTTTAATAATATTCCATTGTATGGATATATAACATTTAAAAAACCCATTCATCATCCCTGACTGGTGTGGCTTAGTGGGATGGGCATCACCCCACAAACCCAAAGGTCGCTGGTTCAATTCCTGGTCAGAGCACACGCCTGGGTTGCAGACCAGGTCCCCATTTGAGGGGCACGCAAGAGGCAACCAGTTCATGTCTTTTCCTCTGTCTTTCTCATTCTCTTTCCCTCTCTCTAAAAATAAATAAACTCTTTTTTAAAACTCTATTCATCATTTGATGGACATTGGGTTTTCTCCACCTTTTGGCTATTATGAATAACTGCTATGAAAATTCATATACAAGTTTTTCTGGGGACACAAGTTTTCATTTCTCTTGAGTATAAAGCTAGGGTTAGAATTGTTCAAATTGTAAATTTGTGTTTGACTTTTTGAGAAACTGCTAGACTGTTTTGCACAGTAACTACATCATTTTATACTCACACCAGCAATGGATGAGGGTTTCAATTTCTCCACATCTTCACCAACATTATCTGTATTTTTAATTATATTCATCCACATTCATGTAAAGTAGTCTCTCCCCGTGGATTTGATTTTTTACCTCCCTGATGATTAATGATGTTGAGCCTCTTTTTATGTGTTCATTGGACATTTGCATATCTTCTTCAAATAAAAGTCTATACATAATTTTTACCTATCTTTTACTCAGATTATTTTTTTACTATTAAGATGTAAGAGTTCTTCACATATTCTAGATTCAAATCCATTGCTAATATGAATTGAAAATATTTTTCTTTTTTTAATAATGTCCTCTTGAAGCATAAAATTTTTTAATTTTGATGACATCCAATTCATCTATTTTTTCTTTTGTTGCCTGTGGTTTTAGCATCACTATCTTAGAAGCTATTGCCAAATTCAAGGTCACAAAAATTCACCCCATTTTTTTTCTAAAATTTTAGCTTTTACATTACGGTATTTGATGCGCTTCGAGTTAATTTTTTGTACATGGTGTGGTGTAGAGGTCCAGCTTCATTCTTTTGCACATGGATACCAAGTAGTTGTCCCAGAACCATTTGTAAAAAAGATTAGTCTTTCTCCTCAATGAACTGTTTTGGCACCCTTGTCAAAATCAATTGACAGTAAATATAAGTGCGCATTTCTGAGTTCCTGCCTCTGTTTCATTGACCTGTGCGTCCATCCTTATGCCAGGGCCATAGTCTTGATTTCTATGAGTTTTGAAATCAGGAAGTATGAGTTCTCCAACTTTGTTGTTCTTTTTTCAAGATGCTTTTGGCTCTTGTGGGTTCCTTAAATTTCCATATGAGTTTTAGGATCAACTTGTCAGTTTCTCCAAAATACTCAGATGATAGGATTGTGTTGAATCTATAGTTCAGTTTAGGGAGCGTTGTTATCTTTATAATATTAAGTTTTTTGATTTGTGAGCATGGAGTGTTTTCCCATTTATTTAGCTCCTCTTTAATTTTTTTCAAAAATTTGTATAGGTTTCAATATAAATCTATTGTACTTTTTAAAAACTTATAATTTATTTCTAAGAACTTCATTATTTTTGAAATGTAATTGTTTTCTTAATTTCCTTTTCAGTTTGCTCATTGCTACTATATAGAAATATAATTAATCTTTTTATATTGATCTTGTATCCTACAATCTTGCTAAACTTGTTTTTCTTAGTGTAACTTCTTCAAATTTTCTACATATAAGAACATGTCATATGACAATAGAGATACCTTTACTTCTTCCTTTCCAATGCCCTTTATCTGATTTTCTTGCCTTATAGTCCTGACTAGAACTTACAGTGTTGAATAGAAGAGCAAACATCCTTGTCTTATTTCTGATCTTATAGGGAAAGCATCCAGTCTTTCCACATTAAGTGTGATGTTAAATGTGGGTTTTTTCATATATGCCAATTCTATTTTGTTTTGTTTTGTTTTGTTTAGGCACTGGATTCCTGTTCCACCTTGATTTGAGGAAATCCTTCTCATCTTTTAAGTTATAGCTAAACTGTCACTTCCTTAGGGACATCTTCCCTGAATCTCCAGACCAAGCTCAGAGCACCCTGTTCTTATCACAATTATGACAATTACTTGTCATCCTCATTCTCCCTTCTAACTTGGCCCCACCTTGTTCCCAGTTACATTCCCAATACAGACTGGTGCTCATAATTGTTGCCACAAACTAGCTTCACATATCATGTTCTATTCTTGCACTTGGCAAGGACACTGCCCTAAAAGTTCCATTTCTTCTGCCTCTGTCTCCACCTCAAAGACAGGACCTTGCTTTGTTCATCTTTACGTCCATCGTATACCAGAGAGCCTGGCACAGGGACCTTCAGTAACCTCTGTGAATCGTTCTGAGGCTACTCAAAAAGGTATTAAGAAAGGTTACGTGTAATTTTGCCCAAGAACAACAAAAAAAGAAACTGTACCTTCAACAGGGCCAATTTGATTGGCTACAGCAAACCTAAGCACTCTTTCTTCATCATCGTATAAGGCGAAGACCCGGTCCACACTCAGCTGCTGGGTGATAGGGACACCCAGGGGTGCGGGGGCGTGCCTGCACGCCTGGTAGGTGATGTTCTGGTGGATGTGGTAGGACAGCATTTGGCTGACGGTACCAAAGGTAAGAGAGTAGTCTCTGGAACTTGTGGAGGTCACGGCTGCAATAGACACGTTATACAGGCAAGCTAGTAAATTTGAAATATATTAAATACAGAGATTTTCACATGAAGTAGGTTTTTGCTGCACATAGTTTTTCATCTAAGCCCTGCAACATGTCCTCTTGGGAAGTTCCTGGGTTTTCATGGGAAACCTGCAAAGCAATCCCGAGAACCTCAGCTGACACAAAGCCAAAGTGCTGAGTGGGAGGTAGTCCAATCATGGCCTGTCATTATGTGAAGAATAAATGCCACAATGGGCCAGCCGCACCAAGGGCTCTGCATGCGCTGCCTTGTTTATTCCTCCCAGCAGCCCATGAGGTGAGCCTTGTGATTGTGGGCATGGCGCCTTCCAGAGGTTAAGAAGTAGTCTTAGAAGCAAGGCTGGCATGCAGCAGAGCTGGCAATGGAACTCAAGTCTGCCTGCCTCTGCACCCCAAGATTTTAACCAGTCCACCCTCTACACCACACAGAGGTGATGGCTTCTAACACCCCGCACCGGACTAAGTCTGAGGAGTGCAGGGAAAGGAAGGGATCATTTCTCTCAACCTGAGCCCAGAGTCAAGAGTGCAGGTCAGCTATCTGGATGGCCATCCACTCTTCTGGGTACAGTCCAGGTCTCAGCAGCCATTCTCTTCCCTACATCTCCTGCCCGGCTTCCAGTCCTCACACAGCAGGAGAAGCAAGGGCCAAGGAAAGGCCCCACGCAAGGAAAAGAGCTGTGCTGCAGGACAGCAGCTGTGATTGAGGCAGCGTCCTGCTTTCGGGGCGCGCTTTATGAAACACGTCACTTCACACATCTCCACCATGTAAGGTACACAGAAAAGGACTTATTATTCTCATTCTAAAGATGAGACAAATAGGCTCTCAGATGAGTGATCTTTTCCTCCCTTTAAGGAGCAAATCCAGGATAGGATTTTCTAACTTCTGATTCTAAACCTAGCATTGATTTTACAACACTGTGTAGCATCTCCTTCCATGATATTAAAGCAGATGGAAATAAGGCTAAAGGTTGAGTATAAATTCCAATAATCGATAGTTTGACATGGCCCAGAGAGGAGGATGGTTAAAAACTATGTATAATTACAGAATCCCCACCCACAACCAAAGACAAGGTTGTTATTGATGGTATTACTACTCCTACTATTATTTGAAAGCATTGGGTAGGAGCATTAAGATTCTTTCATATAGCAGCTGGCACTCTGCTCGCTTACACTATGTATTTGATATTAACAACAAAAACTACATTGAGCTTATTTTATGTGCCACATACTAGTCTAAGGACATTCCATGTAGTAATATTTAATCCTCATAACCATCTTGGGAGAGCTGTACTATTCCCATTTTACAGATGTGAAGGCTGGTTACACATACCTGAGTTCGAGTAGTGATAGAGCTCCTTGTAGGGGGTCACGTGGGCTGTGAAATTGGCTGGGATATAAGGCACCTGGCCTTGAATGTTGGTCTTAATGTTCATATAGTTCTCTGAGTCAAGCCCCTCAGCAGTTTGAGTGATTTGAACCCTCTCCTTGCCTGGGTAGAAAGTAACTTCCATTTCATGGATAAATGTAGCACCTGGAGTGGGGGAATTTGGTACAGGGATGAAAAGAGGTCTTGCATGTTCTAGTAATAATTACCTGTGCGTATGTCCAGCTCCCAATTTCTGCTGCTAATGGAGATAGTGCCGAAGGAGATCATCTGATATCCAAGACTAAGTGCTACCAGCTGTTGAGTACATCAGTTTCTCAGATTTTTCTACTAGAATGTGGTTTTATCCTGCCACATCTCATACCATTTCTCTTTGTAGGAGCTTGTTTTCTGTAAGAAATAAACTCCTGGGGACATCGTCGACCTTTCTCTTTCCAACAGTGCCAGACTTAGCAAAAACAGGTAAACAAACAAAAACAGGATACCCTGTTACATTTCAACTTCAGATAAATGATAAGTGTATGTGTTTGTTTTTTGTATAACCATGTCTCATATAATATCTGGGGCATGTTTATATTAAATTATTCAAATTATTCATTGTTTATCTCAAATTCAAAGGTAACTGGGTACATGTTATTTATCTACTTTTGACTCAAGGTTTTATTCAAACCTTGCTTAAGAACACGGTCCTACCACAGCTGCTGAGCTCCACAGCTGCTGAGCTCTACAGCTGGAGATGAGGGAAGAACTTTTCTCTCAGCATTTTATGTGCAATAGGATAAATTTACCAGGAAACAAGCTTTTTCAAATACAGAGGTGGAGCCAAAAATTATCCTCTACGCTCTTGATCTCAAAAGGTCATCCTTACACCAGCATGAGCGTCTGCTGTGAGCTGGCTAAGAAGACAGAGTCCCAGGTCGCACCCCGGGCTACTGAATGAGATTGCATTTTCACAAGGAGCGCAGGTGATTTGTGTGCTGGCTGAAGTCTGACCAGCACGGGTCTGTACTCCCGTAGGTCAGAGTACAGACCCGTGGGGGTGGGAGAAGAGGAAAGGCACGCCCTTTCCCATGACGTACCATCATCTCCAGGTGCCCTAGCATTACCGTTTGTGTAATTCCAATTGGACAGATCTGTGCATAACAATTAAATAAAGTCTGACAAACAAGGTTCAACAAATTGGGGTGAGAAGAGACAAATGCTGCAAATGAAATCATGCTATTTCTCAGAACAACTTGGAGGAAGCCGTAGTGAACCCGGGGAGCTCACTGCTCCAGCGGTTCCTTCCATCTCCCATTTATTCTGCCTGTTAAAACACAAGGGCCTTTTGTGCTACCAAGAAACAAAGGTATCAGAGCAGATGCCACTTAGAAGAAATCATTGTCTTTCAAAAACAGTCCCGCAAGGCCAAACCATCCCCAACTACCTCTAGACAGAAAACTACACACCTGTGGCTCTGGACCACTGAAAAAGCAAATCTTCTTCCACTGAATAAAAATCCAAGGAGCAATGCCACCAGACCAATAGCGACTGTCAGCCCTCTCAGTGGCCCTGCTCACCTGTGAAGCTGAAGCCATTCTTCCAGCCTGGCTTCTCTAAAGCAAAGAGCCAGCCAAATAGGCCTCCAATTGGTGTGAGGGGGAGAAGGGCCTGGGCCGCGGGCTGTGGGACATGGCTGATGGCTGTGTAGGCTCTGCCGTCATTGTTCACAATGTAAGCATGCAGGTCCACGTCAGTGAAGGTCACAGGCATATGGCCCACATGGAAGTGGCCGCTCACTTTCCCATTGACTCGAAGAGGTGCCCCTGAAAAACAGCAAATCCAGTCAACACTGACAATTGCCCAAGCTGGGAATGGGCCCATTGAAAAAAATTCCACTGCATCCCCCAAAACTCAATCTTTAGCCATTTTCGCGATTCCCTAACCAACCAATTACCCATCCAAGTACGAAATACACCTGCTTTAATTTCTTTTCTCCCATCCTCCCTCTCCCCCATCTACTTTGACTCTAATGAGCTGGCAGAAATGAGGAAACATCTTTGGTTAATCCTCAAATTGGGAAATCAGCCCAAACATGGTCATTCCTCAAACATTTATTGAGCACCTGCAAGTTGCTAGGGCTTTGATTCAAGTAGCAGAGGTACAAGGTCTATAACCAGAGCTCACAATGGCAGCTAGAAGCAAGCCAGCAGCAGAAATACACGCAGAGCAGCGCCCAGCCCCGCGAGCCAGCACGCCTCACCTGCCGGCAGACAGTGCTTCCCATTTCCGAAAAAGCTGGACTGGCAGTGGCAGCAGAAGCCCGTGGCGTAGTCGGTGCAGAAGGCGTGTCGGGAGCACTGTCTGTGGTTGTGCTCACAGGTCTCCTTGTTGGAAGCTTTATGCATGAAGATCAGAAAGTAAAACAAATTCGCATTAAAAAGGACTAAGTGATTCCAGCATCATCAATGCTGCCAGCTTCAGGCTTCACCATGGACACCGCATCTGCTCCATGAAATCAGTTTAGATTGTACAATAATAAACACGTGGGGTTTTGATATTTAAGAGACAGGAACAACATTCAACCCAGGGGAATTAACTAGCTTGGTCTTCTGGGGCAAGAACAACTGCTAACTGCTCCCATCGGGTCTCACTGCCAAGCTGGTGAACTAGGATGAGCTGCCCCACCCCACTTTGAGTGCAGTAACATGAAAGCCAACCAGTGAGGACGTGCTAGGCTGGCTGGACAGTACAAAACTGCCATCTTGTGGGTCGCAGTTGGCCAAAGATCAGCAATTTTGGTTCAACCGGATAGTAATGATCCCCTGAGAAGAAGACAAAAGAGAGTAACAAACGTCATTTTATATCTAACCATTTATTCTTCTCTTCAGTAACCCCGAACTTAAAGAGAATAAACTGATAGCTTATCTCACTACCCAGAAATTTTTTTTTTTTCTGAGAGAAGGGCCTTAAAGAAAACTCCTTCCCAACCCCTTTGAGAAAAGAGTGTAGGGAGACCCTGGATGGGGAGGGGAAAAGACCAGGCAATTAATCCTGCTGCTTTGTGCTCTGTGCCTTTGCAACGGTTCTTGCGGCGAGTGTGGCACAAGCGGGATTCCCATGTGGCGGGACAGTCTGGCCACAGTCACCGCTCGCTAGGAAGCCACGGTAGCCCTGGGTGAAAGCAATGCTCCAGTTCCCCCCAACCCCCATGTAGGAAAAAGAAAAAGAGAGAGGGCCCTTTGTGCTACCAAGAAACACACAAAAAAATGGAGCGGGTGGCATTGATCACAAAGGAAATGGCCAAGTGGGCGGGATGTGGCTGGGGCGGGCAGGGACGGCCAAGGGAGGGGTTTCTCCCTGGCGGTGCGGATGGTGCCAACCCTAAGCATCGCCACCAGGAAGCAAAGGGCTGTGCACATCTCTGCTTCTGTATCCCCAGGAGCTGGAGTCGGGCGGGAACTCCAGAAGCACGCTGATCGACAGGGACGTACAGAACGCTGCTCTAGACTCTGACGCTGCTGTGAGGAGCCAGCTGCCAAGGAAGACAGACGCCCTATCTTAGGAAAAACTGGGTGGTAGCTGTGTCTCAGGTCTAGGTCTGAAAAGGAGGAAATGAGAGGGTAAAGAAGATAATGGAAAATCAATATTTACCCAGGGTTCCAGGAGAGAGTAGAAACAAAGAAACCAAGAGAGGGAAGACGTAGGACCACATATGTCACAACAGAGCTCCCATAAAAACTTGTCTCAGCAAGGAAAAACAAAGTTGACACTGAAATAGTGCCTAATGTATGCTAGACACTATACTACGAAATTTAACTCTTAATTTCCCTAGAGCTGGGGACACTTTGATGCCTGTTTTGTAGATTAACAGGCTGAGGTACAGATTAAAGTGACTTTCCTGAAGTCACACAGGCAGGAGGTGGTAGAGCTGGGATTTGACCCAGGAAGTCTGGCTCCAGGTTCTTCACAGCCACAGTCTATTACCCTTCCAGTGGAACTCAAGTCCACACATCGTGAGAGCTGGGCCAAGGATCTGGTCAGGTGCCTGGGGTTAATCAGCAGAGGCTTTTAGCAAGGAAGGTTTGAGACATAAATCAGGCTCAATGGTAGAGTATGGCAGAGGTTACCCAGATGCATATTATAGCCCTCTAAGAAAGAAACGCGGGAGAAGAAGTGAGAGTAACAACTATAGCGTTAACGTTTGGACAGTACGGAAGTGCTGCTTAGAGATTCTTGAGAAAGCAGCAAGCTGAGGGGTTGGCAGGACAGCTCATCTGGAGTCTAATGGAACATCTGACTGGGAACCTAGTGAGAATGAAGCTGGTGACTCATGATTTGGTGCAGGGCCCTGATGACAGCACTGAGAAATTCCAGTTTGATAAACATAGAAAATGAGGCATAACCCTGAACATTTTTTAAAACAGGAAAGTGACAAAAATTCAAAATCGAATGGATAATGATAAATAGTATGAGGTCCCCAAGAGGAGTGCTATCTTAGCATCGTCTACCTTTGATTTAAGAAGGGCGAGGGTGGGGGCGGGGGGGACCAGTTTAATTAAAAAAGAAATGAATGTAACTTGGGTGTGTTAAAGTCTCAGTTTTCTTCAGCTCAAAATCACAACTAAGTGCGAAGAAGTGGCATCTGGAGGGGAGGGACTGGCACACTTGTGAGTGTGCTCACAGCCTGGTTGCCCTAAGGACTCTCCCTCCAGAACACAAGGGAAGGTGGTGGGGGGAGGGGCAGAGAGTCCCAAGCTTAAACTTAACCTCCACCATAGCTCAGCTGGCTTTGCGGACTAAGAAAGTGTAGTATCTGTCTCAGTTTCTTCACCTCTAAAATCAGGATGACACCCTCTCCTCACATCTCTTTGTCAGAAATCATGTTTTTTTCTTAATATATTTCTGAGCACCAAAGTGAAAAAGCAATCTCACATAGGTAAATTTGGGTAAAAATAAAACCAAGCTCTAACATTGTTCTGCCCCAAATTAAGGAAATGATGGATTTGTATTATTGGGTTGACCAAAGAGTCCATATGGTTTTTTCCATAAAATAACACATTTTTCATTTTCATCCATAACTTTATTGATTTGGATATTTTGAGTGTGTCCGCTGTCTCCCGTTACTGGCTTCTAGTGGGTAAGGCCAAGGGTGCTGCTAAATGTGTTCCAATGCATAAGACAGCCCCACAGCAAAGAATGATTTGGCCAAAATGTCAATAGTACCAAGAAACTTCACAAACCACTTTTGATATATTCAATCAGTCACAGCACCTTCTCCATACACTGCACAAATCTTTTGTGTGCTTCAATTGTGTTTTTACCTTTCTTGATATAATAAAGCATACTACGCCAAAAATGTTGCATATTTTCTTCCATATTCAATATTAAAATGTCCGCACAGAAAGTTTTTTTTTTAAATGCACACTGGTGTGTCAGCTGTCACAATACAATCTAACAAAATTGTTTCAAATGAAGTTAAAGACAACTGGACACTACTAGAGCCATCATACAGAAAAAGCCTCACAGACTTTTTGGCCAACCCAGTATATTCCCTCTATTTGTTACCTTGTGAAGACTTGTTCTGTAACCCAATTCCCATTCTAAGAGCGGATTATGAAACAGAAACACGGGTTGGAGGAGGACTGCAGATATGGAGAATTAGGTTAATTTAACTAAAAAACAAAACAAAACTAGGCATAAGCATGGCTTTTATATGGGTGAAAAGAGAGGCACAGCAATGCAGCCAGCAGCTTACAACTGCAATTGTGTAAAAGTTTAAACTGACTGGCACGCAGACTACATTTGTCTAACAACAAAAAATAATGGTTAGTCTCCCATGGAAGACTAAAGAGACAAATCATGGGTTGAAAGTTATTGGTAAGCTGGCCTGGGGTCTTTTTAAAACTAGTTGTTGTGCATGTGTGAAATACTGCATTCTCAGGATGGAACTTAGCCAGGCACACAAGCTCAGCCTTCCAGCCCCAGGACGGCTATACCTATACCGGGGCACAAAGGTAGGCTCGCTCGTAATCAGAGGGAACACAAGGCTTCCTTTTGGGACCCCCTTTCCATGCCTGCCTTCATGCACAGAGGTGCTCACTTAACACAGCGTTGGCTTGTTAGGTGAAAAGTAAACACTTGTTGCAATTTCCTTTCATGTGTTCAATAATTCAACAAATATTTATTGAGCACTCGCTACAGGCCCGGTGCTGGTCTAGGAATAACAAACACTTTATTCCTGTCCTGAGGCTTACACAGAGGCAGGAGTCACGGACAGGTGAATTACCTAATGTGGAGGGCTTTGTCAAGGGCTGTGCAGAAACTTTACTCTGGGAAGGACAAGAGGGAGGAGGTGAACTTGCACTCTTCAGGCCTTGGGAGAAGGTGGCCTTTGGGCAGCGGCCTGAGGAGGGGAGGAGAGTGGAGGCAGGGACAGTCTGTCTGTCAGGCAGGTGGGGCCTGCGGGAGGACAGAGAAGGCAGGGAAGTAACCCAGTTCTCTGCAGACCTCCAGGTACCTCAGGAGCAAGCTGGTAGTAGGAAGTGCTGGTGGGAGGAAGAGAAGGGACCAGACCTGAAATATTTCAAGGTGGACCTGATGCGGTTTGCTGCTGGAGGGGGTGGAGGGAGAGTGGGGGAGGGAAGAAAGTTGGAGGGAGGGAGAGAAGAGAGGGAAGGGAGAATGAGAAACAGAGGGAGAAAGAAAGAGAGAGAAAGGAAAGGCAGAGAGGGAATACAGGGGAGGGAGAGAAAGTAAGAAAGAGGAGTCCACAGCAACATTCAAGTCTAAGCGTGGGAAGATGGAAGGTTGGAGCCTCCACTTACTGAGACAGGGAGGTTGCAGAGGAGCAGGTTTGTGGAAGATCAGCTGTAGCAACAGCTTCTAGGGAGGAAAATTCCAACCCAGCTCTGACAAGGACTTACCCCCTCAGCAGACTACTATTCAACCGAAGCAGAGGGAGCCCAGCATTGCACCCACGGATTCTGCATTGCATCACAATCACCTGGGGACCTGGGAAAAATGCAAATTGCCAGAGCACCCCTCAGGCCTACCAACTCAGACTCTGTATGGGGGGCCCAGGAATCTGCATCTCAGCTCCTCCCCACTGAGGACAGCGTTCAGGATATTCACAAACTATTTCTGAGTTAGAGAATGTTCATTAATGTGGTTAATGAATTTCATTTGACCAATTAGCAGCTCCTGGGGTGGGTGGGATTTCAGGGAATACTCTCCCATTCATTCCTGGCCAGCTGAGAAGGGAATCTCTGTGCTTCTGGCCTGCATAGGCCTAGAGGCACAAGCAAGCAACATGAAGACCCTTTAGTGGCAGTAGCCCAGGGGTCGAGAGGCAGGTGACTTCCCTGACCAAGGCAGAGAGCTGGTCCTAAAAATGTCATCCCACGTGTGTGTGGCTCTCTATACAGGGTAAGAAAAGCCAAACTTCTGGACAGTGTGACTTCTCAGCTTTCTTTGGGAATTGCAGATAGTTTCAAAGATGCTGAACTCCTTGAAGGTGTGGAATCCATGTCTCGATCCCAGCTGGATGAGAGTGCCCTGAGCATCTCCAAAATCAAGGTGGCATATTTTTTCTATTTCAGTGGTTATTTATATGCTCTTTCCATCATAGTTTTGAATGTATTTTCACACACTTCTTCCTATCCTGGTAAGGATATATTATTGCCATTTTACAGATAAGAAAACAGAGGTCCATAGAGATTACACGATCCTCTGGCTCTGAACCCCATGCTCTTTTCCTTCTGCCTAGTACTCAAGCGTGGTGGGCTTCGGAATCACCAGGGAATCTGCTTTAAATATGCAGATTCTGGTTCAGAAGCTGGAGGCCCTGTGTGGAAATCAGCATTTTAAACAGGGAGCCCAGTTGAATTAGATGTAAATAGATTAGAGCTCACACTTTGAGAAATAGTTTTTATTCCACTGCGCCCTCTCTGCTGAATTTGCCGACAGGGCAGGCCGTCTGCCAGACCCTCTGGGGACCCCACTTTCTGCCAGGGAGCTCCTGTCATGGAGTCAAAATGACAGGTCTGCCGGCATCTCAGGACAGCGGGAGGGCGGAGGCTGGCCAAGTTTGAACGAACTCAGTCTGCAAAGGCTTTGTTAACTGAGGGTAGGCACTTGCTCAAGGATTCTTAAGAGGATTTTAAAATCTCATTTCTTTTTCCCATTGAATGCTTTTTTACTCTTCACATATCCTTAGTAGAAAAAAAATAGGGCAAGGATACATACGAGGAAAAAGAAAAGCAACGGCACTGCCGAAGGACTTGACACTTGTCCTTAACTCGGAGTATTTTTCACAAAAACGGAAAATTTCTCCTCTGCACCTGTTCAGATGCATCCTTCTATCTTCACTTTTCCAGAAACACTTAAGCACTTGTCTTCAGCCCTGGGCCTGCCTGCGCTCCTTCACTCGGGGCTCCGGCCCGGCCATGAGGGAGGCAGGCAGGCTCCAAGGCACAGAACCGAGCTCATGGTGCCACACAAGGGGACGGAGGGCTTCCTGTGCGGGGCTGCCCCGGGCGGCTGGAGTGACTGTCAACAAGTTCTACCGGCACCGCCAGGAAAAGGGCCCACATTTCCACTCTGTACAGATTTTACTAAGTTTCCCCACCTCCCAGAATGATAGACTAGTCAGAAAAACCACATCCAAATATATAACAAAAAACAGTGGTGTGCTTTTTCCTCCACTTTACATGTTTGTTTATTTTTGATGTATGTGTTGGGTGCATAACAGTGTTGTTTGAGCAAACAGTTATTAGCGCCGTGGTTGGGACATGGGGGTTTGCAGCTGCTGTCATGACACCAGCAGGCTCCCCCACGCAGGTTCTCACAGGTACGGGGGGGCCCTTCCCGTTCACAGACCCACGGCAACCTGGAGGGACAGCCGGAGAGGGCCTTCCTGCCTGGAAGGCCGGGAGGGGCCGGGAGCCTACTCCAATTCACTCCCAGGTCCGCGGCCCGCGCAGCATCCCTGCAGCCTGCCCCACGGCCACAGGTGCAGCTGGGCGGGGAGCCACGGGGAGAGCTGTTCACGCCCGGGCTTTCCCAGCATGACTACCACCTAAGGACAAACAAGACAGTCCCCACAATGGAGCGTGAATACCTGGGCTTTCTGAAAGCCAGGTGTCCCTTCTCCTTTCTCATTCATCAGTCAGGCTGAGGTTAGGTCCTCATAGCACCACCTGAGCAGGCTGCAGAATACCTAAGACCCCTGCGCCTTCTGCCCCCGACATGCAGGCAGGCCCTGCCCTAGCCAGCTGCGGCCCTCACCGCCAGCTCCTCTCTCACGCCCGCCCGTCCGCTCGCTCACATTCTCTCTCTCTCTCTTCACCTCTATACCTCCATTCTCATCACCTCTTTGTCCAGAATATTTCCCCACTTTTTCCTTCTCTAAACTCAGGCTCTGACCTGAAGGCTGGTCCACGCTCTTCCTCCTTCACAGTGACTTCCCTGACTTGACACCCAGGGACTCACCCTTCCCTGCATTACCTCTCAGTTTACGGTCGTGTCGTCTCGGCCTGCCTCTTACTCAGGCCAGTCACTCAGTATTTCCGGGCCTCAGTTTCCTTCTCTATGCAATGGGAAGGTGGATAGTATCTACCTCACAGGGCAATCCTGAGGGCTGACTGGGATAGGGCTGTCTTCAGCCAAGTCCCCTCCTCACGCCCCCGTGGGCCCTCCGAACAAAACTCCCGCTAGTGCCTCAGTCAGAGACGGCACATGGCAGGTGCTCAGGCAACGTTTTGGTTTGACAACAAGTTCCTAGTGCTGCCTGGAGAAACAAGACCCCTCAGAGGATGCTTGTGCACTCATTTTATTGCTGGTTCTGTGGCTATAAAAACAGAACAAAGCAGATAATATCCTTGAGGCCAGAACTAGCTTGTGATTGGGACATTCGTGCCTGGTGTAGACACGACCTGAAAAGAATCTGGATTTCTCAGCAAAAAGACAAGTCTATAAAAAGAGTCCCTAAGGGGAAAAAAAATTAAAATGAGAGGAAGGAGAGATATTTGGCGGGGCCGGGGGGTGGGGTGTGGGAGGAGGGGGCCTTTAACTAAACCTTAATTTCATGTTTTAGCAAGATGACTAATACGAAGCTTAAAGGGAAAACTAAAATTCATTGGGCAAGGTGCTTCTGGTGCCTGTTATTAATGCTCATAATGATTTAATGAAGTCTACAAATTTTCCACTTTAGAAATGAGGAAAATGGTGGCCAAATAGAGCACAAGTCTTACCTCAAACCACAGAGCAGAGCTGGGAATCAAGCTTAAGTTCACCTCACACCAAAATCCACACTCTCACTCCATCAGTAGAAATAGCCATGCAGGATGGGTCATGGCCGGGCAGTTGGCAGGCAGCGCTCTGTGTCCCTCCTACCCTTACCCACCAGCTTTCCCAGGGGAAGTCCACTTTTGCCTGCTAGACCTCTAGGGTGCAAGTGTTCCATCTGGGAAAAAAAGTCCACTGAGCCCCCTCCCCCCGAAACGTATCTCACAACTGCGTGTTTCCATACTTCACACAGTCCTCCTAAAACCAGAGGTACAGACAGGGCTCACCTATTTTCCCTCCCTGCTTTCAAGTTTTCAAGGTTTTCCTCTCTTCTCTCTAACATAGCGGTTGCTTTTTTTTCATCCAAGGTGCAAAACCTTATACTTTTTTTTTCTAAATGTCTCAGTGTATTAACCAGCTTTTTCATGTGCATCTTGCCATTTCCAAGATGTCAGTAACAGACGCCGTCCAGCAGCTGATAAATACCATAGTTCATGCCCCGGGGGGGTTAAGGCCGCGCCTCTGTTCTCCATGGCCAGTTCCATACGCCTCCTCCACTGTGACTCCAGCAAACTCAACCTCTCCCAGCTCAAAGCAGAGGGTGCAGCCCCTTCCTCTTCACTCTTTCAGAAATCCAACCTCTTCCCAGGGCAGGAAATCACAAGTACAAGCACCATTTAGAAATACAGTATTCCCTCAAAACTCCCTTGCTAAAAATCTTTGATAATTAGCTTTAAGTTTTCTTTAGATATATGAAACTTATGCTGCAAAGTCAGGAAATTGTCAAGGGGGACAGAAGGTTCTGAAGCCTTCCAATAAAATTCACATCTTCAACTTGACGAAACTATACCCTTAGGCACAAATTAAGGCCCAACCATTTCAGAAGCCTCTTCTTTATTCTCAGCCCCCTTCTCACCCCACTGCTGGAAGCTTTCTATAATTAGTAATAGCAGCCACCATTTGTGGAGAACCAACTAGTACAAACACTAATCTAAGAATTTCATTATCTCATTTAATCCTCTTAACAAATTTAGGAGCAATTTGAGGCTTGGGGTTCGCATAAATTGCCAGTAAGGAGTGTGGCAGCCAGGATTCAACCTAAGTCTGACACCAACACTCACCTTCTAATCATACACAATATCACAAAATAGTTTCTTCCTTCCTGAAATAAGCATTTCTTCAAGCACATTCAATACCACAGCAGAAGAACCCCGAAGACCCTCTTATTTTTTTTTTTATCATAAAAGGGATGTTTTTAACACAAAAGGGATAGGAAACAGAAAAGGTAAGGAAAAAAAGAGGTCCCGAAGAATGCCTCCACCTCCGACCTCTTTCCTGTAAGAGGTCAGATGAGCAGGCCCTGAACAAATGGAATAACTGACTCTGTGGTCAGTTTCCCATTCACGTGTTTACATCCCTGCCTGGGAAGAAAGAGCTGACATGACAAGTCTCAGCTAGGACGAGAAGGCGACACAGGCTCCATGTCTGTATTAATTAACCACTGCCTCCGCCCGGCATTTCTCTCCCAGCCACTCACCCTGGTCAGTGAGTCATGAAATGAGGACAAGGCTCCAGGGAGGTGAATACCACAGCTGCACAGCCATGAACCAGAAATGACAAGACACAGGTGCTTAGCGATTTTCTTTCCCCATGGGTCTCCTTTCCCAGACACCACCAAGTAGTTCTCACCAAGGGCACACAAGAGTTGTCCCATAACAGAGTTAGAATCTGGAATGTCAGCCACTTAAAACTAAGGTCTTCTGCCCGCCATCACTGTAACGTGCACGAAGCCCCAGGATGTTTTACCTTTGCTGAACTTTCAAACTGAAATACTTCATTACACTTGAGAGCGTAGCTGGCACAAGCAAGCCAGTCCTTCCCCACTCACTTCATGAGGCCCATTTTTTAAAAATATTATTAATCGTCAAGAGACCAAACAGAACTTGTCTGCCAAGATGTGCTTGGCAAAGGAAAGATATTCTATCTCCTGAAACATGCTTTTAAAAATCAGTTCCAATCTTCTTTTTGCTAAACTTTCCACGTACTCGCCTGAGAGAAAGATCATGACTCCCTGCAAAACCAGTTTTTAAAAGTAGAATCTTAGCACCCAGTTTTGTAACCCACTTACCCCTGTGTTGGAACTGTTGTCATCTGCCACCCCTTCCTTGTGCCGCCCATGATCCCATGGTGTTGTGTGACCTGGAACAGCGCAATTGGGCAGAACTACCTCCCATTCAGGATGAGCTGGAGGAACATCCCTTTTTGAAGTATCTGGCCCCTCTGTCTGGGTCAGGCCAGATACTTCTCTTTTCAAGGCAGGGAGGTGGGGCTCCCTGGGAAGGATTCAATGCATTTCCTTCTATCTCTGATGGAGCCAGGTCCTTGGTCCCTGGCTAGTTAGAAAACTCAACTGGGCCTCTTGCATGTGGGGCCTCTATCTCCTTCATGTGCCTCCCCTCTTCGGTTTGAGGATCCAAGGTGGCAGATGCTCTTTCAGGGTAGAATGGCATATTTCTAGGTGTTGCGTGCCAAGGGGAGGCCATGTCAGAGTTGGGAGCAGAGATATCACATCCTACAGGCCTTGAATCAGCTTTTGAGTGGAAAGAACATTGATACTGCTGTGGCCTTTCAACACCTCCTCTGGTTCACTCAGGAGGTATTCGACTTCCTCCTCATTCTCACCATAATCATCCAAATTGTCCTCACTGTACTTGCCTTCCAGGGCTGAAGCATGGCTGAAGGGATGTTCCAGGGACGCTAAAGAGCGGGCATTGGAAAGGACTCCTCTGACTGTTGCTGGTCTGACATTGTCCAACGGGGATGTGCTGCCGATATGAAAAGCCCACACTCCAGGAATCCCCAGGTTGCTGTGTCTAAACAAAAAGAAATGGTGCATTGTAATAAAAGTGGCCATTTACCCACCTTCTTACAAAGGTGAGCAATTTATTTTAAAATTAAAAGGCTATCAAGATCAGATTCAGTTTTCAATGGTGCAGAAAAGCCAAATAAAATGAGACCTACATGTTAACTTAAAGGATTATACTGAAATTTCATATAAACAATTCACTTTCAAAGGCTGTGTTTCACAGAATGCTAGACCATCAAGTTATAATCTGCTCTACAATCCATGTTTCATCTAAAATCTGGCTGACTGAAAACAAAGAGGAATGTGGGACTATTTTATCTTTTTCCTACTTTTAAGAAAATGTATACTGAAAAATTTTTGCCAAACACTTAAATGATAATAACTACTACATGCTTTTAAGAGTTAGTTATGTGCCAAGTGCTTAACATTCTTCAATATAATCTGCAAGGCAGGGGCAGTTACCATGCCCAATTTTACAGGGGAGAAAATAGGTTTTGAGAGGCTAACTGATCTTCATAATTGACAGAGCTTGGACTCAACACAAGCATCAAAACCCATGCTCCATACTTGGGCTTTACATTATTATAAAATAATAATTATTTGATGTCCAAAAAATACAGTGTAATCAATCAGCATCTGTAGTATCATTACTCTACAGTATGTTAAAGACATTTCATTGTTTAGTCATGTGAATTCATCAATTAACTAATTCACAGAGAATGGTGAGTCAATGTAAAAAAAAAATTCAAAGAAATACAAATGCACAAGTCTAAAATGCTGAGCAAATGCAGAACAAAGTTAAGGGGGAAATAAGAAAATAGTTTAATAAAAATGCCATGGGTCATTGGTAAGAAGTATTCAGAAATATCTGGAAATGAAGAGCTCATTCTACTTCAGAAGAACATGGGATATTCAGTCTCCCAAATATCCCAATGATCATTTATTTCAGAGCCAATGATACATTCTGAACAGAACAACTACATATAAGATTTCTAAAAATAAGAAAAAACTCAAACAAACAAGGATCTAGCAAGCTTGAATACACCAGCTTGTGTATTCCTCTGGTGTATGCACAAAATACCTGACTCAGAATCTTCCGGGCTATGGGATTTCCTTAAAAGTCATTCAATGAGGAATAAGGGCTAATGAACTAATAAGTTAGTAAAGAATTCATTGACTCATATAATAACAAGAGAACTTCACTCATTGGGTAGGTGTTCATCATATTCATATGGGTTTCTATAACAATATTTCCATACATTCCAAGAATGAATTTCTCTCAATCTCTCCCCACCTCCACCCCATCTCTATCTCTCTCTCTCCCCCTGTGTGTGTGTGTGTGCGTGTGTGTGTGTGTGTGTGTGTGTGTGTGTGTGTGTGTGTTTGTTATTGTGGTTGCTGCTGCTGCTGCTATTGTAATTAACTTAGGGAAACAGGAATATAAAAAGCAAGACTGTGATTCTTTGTGCAATATGCTATGTATTGTTGGTAAGTTCTGAGAATTAATGTCGGTGTTTCTTGGCAAGCAAATAAGGAACACTGAAGGGGATAAGAGAGAACCCTGAAGATCTGAGGAGACTGAGTTTATTATCACATCAGCGGTATGGCAGCTGTGAAATTTTTTCTTGATGTTAGAAGCAAAAAACTATAAAAGCTTCAAAGTGCGGGGAAATACAAATTATGGCAGATAAAAGCTCAATAAAATATCCTCCTAATTAAATATAAATCACTATCTTGGCTTTTGTCATTGTACGTGATGGGAAAGTAACCAATTTGAGTTTATCCTAAAATCCAAAGTCATTTGGAAAGCTTAGTGATAGAAACAATTATTTCCTAGAAAGGAAAAATAAGACTACAAAATGGGGTAACACTGTCATCCTCCCTGGGTTGTTAGGAGGATTAGGTTAAAAAATCATATAAAATGCCTAGCTTGGGGCCCTGCACATAATAAGTACTTAACAATTGTCTTCCAAGAGATAGAAGAGGATCTAAAAAAATGCAAATTTGTGCATTCACACTTAAATTTTCAGAAGATTTATGACAAACACACTATGACTTACATAATTTATGACCTTTGAGCTTATAATGATGAAACAAGTTTGAGGGAGAGAGAGATTCCACTGACTAGGAAAGTAACTTAATTCTTTAGAGATGTATGCCAAAGCATTTAGGAGGGAATGGCATGATGTGTGTGACTTACTTTAAAATACTTAAGCAAAAAAGAAAAAAATTTATGAATATGGCAAAGTGTCCACAGCTTGAATCTCTATTACAAGCACTTGGATGTTCGTCTAGCTACTCTCTCCATTTTTCTATATTTTTAAAATTTAAATAATGAAAAGTAAAACAGATGATTTAATTGAGGAACATTTCTATGATTTGGAGGTAGAGAAGGCCTTTCTGAGAATAATACCAAGACCCAAAGTAATAAAGGAAAAGACCAATAACTTTGACAACCCTCAACTTATAACTTCTAGGTCATGAGTAACTTTAAAGATAAACAAGTGGATTAAAAAATTCACAGCATATACAAGGACTGAGATCTTTATCATATTTTTTTCTTATTTATAAGAGTTCTTTGTAAACACTCCAATAGAAAATAGCAAAGGATATGAACAGATAAGTCACAAAAAAGACAGATGAATGACTATTAATCATATGCAAAGGAGTTCAGATTTACTAGTAATCAAAGAAATTAGAATAAAAATATGAAAATTTTATACCTATTAAGTTTTTATTACAAATATTACAAAAGACAGAAGCTTATAGGGAACAGGTGCTGTCAATCACTGCCCTACATTATTGGTGAAGATATAAGTTGGTGCAATGTTTCTGAAGGGCAATATGTTAATTCACTTCAAAATGCTACGCTTAGTATGTCTTTTCTCAGCAATTCTACTTTTAAGAGAAATGAGAGTCTGAACAATGTACAGGGTGAGGCAAAAGTAGGTTTACAGTTGCTTACATGGAAAATAATACACTAATTAATAAATAATACAAGAATAAATAAACTCTGTTTCACATAGTCACAACTGTGATCTACTTTTGTCCCACTCTGTATATTATGCTATTTACTGCAATGACATTTATAAAAGGAAAAACCAGAAACAGATTAAATGTTCTCCGATAAATTATTGTCTTAATAATATAGGATATATTTTGCCATGTTTTATAACTTTAAAATGATAATATAAACAGATATTGTACTGGAAGAGGCTTATAAAACTGTGATAAATGGGAAAATGGCCCATGTATAGCAAAAGAATCATTTTAGCTTTTAATTATTTTTTCATATAGCCCTGGCTGGTGTGGCTCAGTGGATCGAGTGCCGGCCTGTGAATCACAGGGTCATCAGTTCAATTCCCAGTCAGGGCACATGCCTGGGTTGCAGGCCAGGTCCTCAGGAGGGGGTGCTCAAGAGGCAACCACACATTGATGTTTCTCTTCCTCTCTTTCTCCTTTCCTTCCCTTCTCTCTAAAAATAAATAAAATCTTTTTTTTTTTTTTTTTAACATATACCTAAAATACTGGAAGGACTATTAATACTAGCTATCACTTGAAGTAGTAATACTGGGTAATTTTTACTTTTATTTCACATCATTGTGCATTGTTTGTAATTTATTTTATTTTTTAATATTAACCATGAGTTACACTTAAAGAAAAACCCCTCTGTTAATCATTTTGGCCCCACAACTACTTTGCTCTCATCAAGCAGCTCAGGGATTTCTGGGAAACATCAAAGATAAAAATGAGAGAAGGCATGAAAGGAGGTAAGTGTGTGTGTGGTGTGTGTGTGTGTGTGTGTGTGTGTGTGTTCGTGTTCTGGGGGCCCTTTATGATTGTGGTGGGGAAGCACAACTGCTCTTCCAACCGGCTTTTTGGCCCCCTACACCTCCAGTGCCCTGTATGATGTTAGCACTTATTCTAATTCTCTGGAATTGATCTATTTGTCTGTCAGCACTACCAGAGGGCAAGTTGTTAGTTCAGGGCCTGTGCCTTAGACCTTTTTGTCTTTCAAGCGCTTGGCACCCTGTGAGCTTTCCTCAGTATCTGAGGAGCAGAGACTCTGTGGCCTCCAGGGTTAAAGAGTCGGGTCAGACCCAAGGGGAAAAAGCAGGGAGCTAAGTTTTCTCCAGAGTCTAGACTAAAAGGCAGCCTGGATGGAGACCTAAAGATGCCCAACGTGGATCATAAGAATGGAAAAGAAAACCATAAAGGATTTAGCATATAATAAGCAGTTCAGAGTTCCAACCTTGTGCTTGATTTTGGCTTTGCGACTTATTAACTGAAATTATAGGCAACATAACTTTCCTAAGCTCATTTGTCAAATTGAGAAAAGAGTATAACTTACTTCCTGGGATTCTTGTGAGTTTTAATTAAGACAGCGTCTAGAATGTGTTTAGCACAATGTTTGGCAAATAGGAGGCTCTCGATAAATGTTAGCTCGAGTAACACATTTGGTAGTAGGGCCCGCTCTCTGTAAGCTGAACAGAGCAGATGACAGGCAAACATGTAACATGTCCCAGTTCCTGGGAATATGGGGTGAAACTGAGAGGCAGGAAGGGAAGTTCAGTAGCCATATGTGTTCTGTCTAGTTTCTAGATCAGTATTCAGGAAAGGAATAAAAACAAACAAAAAAAAAATTTAAAGCCCTGAAATTAATGAACTTCCACAGGTGCTAACCCCTATGCTGGCTTGATGTGGAAGGACAAAAAGGAAAAGGGCTTAGGGCTGCACGAGCAGAGTAAGCCGTTCACGGGGCCGAGGAAGGCGCCTGGTCAGTCCTGGCCACCCCAGGGAAAACCAGTCAGTGCGATTTTAGATAATAAAGTCACAGAGAAATCCTAAGACTTCTAAAAACCTACCAGTCTGTTTGTTCCCCAAATTACTCTTTTAACTTTTAACACATTATCTGTCCAAAAGACTAAAATCACAACATCTCCTTCTGTGGAATAATTAACCTGAAAAACTTCAGTCTGGGCAGTTATATTACTGGGTATTTTTATGTGGTTCCAAGAGCCATGTTTTCCATAGCAAGCTTCAGTGGCTCTGCAAACACATGCACACACAGTTCTGTTTCAAGTATCTTTAGCCAATAGGGCAAGAAAAATAAAGCACCTTTTATATCTGGTGAACTCGTGCCTCTCAGTGTCTAGTCTAGTCCTGGTTTTGACCTGATGCCTTGCTTGGAAGCCACCAAGATGCTATTTCATGGTCTTATGGCCACTCAAGCTTGGGTAGCTCCTAAGGGTCCATACATTCCAACAGGAAAGGGTTTAAGCCCTATGGTACTTACTGGTAGAGATTTTTCACAGACTGTTCAGTGCTAGTCAAGCTGAAATATGCTCCTTCTTTCTTTGGGTCATCGGTGTCTCCTTGGCAGAAGCCCACCCGGGCTGGAAGCTTGAGCTGGACATTATAGGCCTCTTTGGGGCGAGTTCCAAAGAACTGAAGGCCGTTGGCAGGATAAAGAAAGAGGGCGTAGGTATCAGACTCATCAGATGCCAAGACTGCCTGGAAAGTATTCAACTGTGAAAAAGAAAAGAAAATATTCTTAATAAAACAAACAAACAAAAAGACAATGCAAGCAAAGCATCATAAAGTACAAAGGGTTTTCCTTCTTCCTAGAATTTCTCCAAATTGTTTTTATACATGCTATTCTTTTAAATTTGCTCTTCAAGTTACAATATAATTTTATAAGCTATGTTATTATAATCGTCTTTTATCAATTTATATTAATAGTTGAAATATGCATAGGTAAAAACTCAAGTTAAAAAAATAATATCTCTTAAGGTTTCAAACTTCTCCCATCCCAACCTCTTTCAGAGTTGAGAGCAAGTAGCAAACGGTCCTCATCCATTCCCACCCCTACTGCTCTAGTTTACTGCCCTGGGCACTCATCTGGTTCATTCATTCATTCGCCTATTTACTGACTGCCCCCTGTGGGCAGGTACCACGTTAGGTGCTGGCTGATCAAGAGTCCTCCTTACTGTTCTTACAGCTTCATTCCCTTTTCTCTTCCATCAATCTTTTCACACCAGCACCAGAGTTATAGATAAGGAAAGAGAAACACAGGGGCTAACAAATCTGCCCAACACCAGGCAGCTAGCTCACGGTGGCAGGCCAGCCAGAGAGCAGAGTTCGTGTCCTGTACCACTAGACCACTCTAACTGCTCCTTAGCAAGCCATTCAAGGTGATGTGGAACCTGCCCCGAACGTTCCTCCTAGGCTCACATTTGCTGTATCTCCATCAGACTTTTTAATGTTCCCCACAAGTCCTGTGTACTCTGATGCTTCTGTACTTTTGTCCATGTTTCCCTGTGCTGAAAACCCTCCTAACTTTCCAGTGCTGCCCCCCCGTGTGATTCCATGTCGACTTATTTCTGTCCCCTGACCCTCCATAACACCACTGTGTGTTTCTAGTTAGTATTCACCTCATTTTGCCTGGTTAGCTGTTTATGTGTTTATAATCTCCACTTACTGATTCATTTGTAGAGTAATTCAATCAACCAAGTGCCTTTTAAGCACCAGACATTATACCTGGTGCTGAAGAAGCAAAGGAGCTTGTGCCCAGGACGGTCTCACAGTTTAGGAGAGGGAAACAGCCATGGCTAGAATTCTAGCAGAGTCCCTGAAAGAAGGAGAAGAGACTACGGAGGGCGAGGGCGTGTGCCCAAGGCGTATGCCCAAGGCCTCACCTCGGGGTAGGGTAGGCGCAGGCATAGGGAGGCCCTAGGAATGTCAATAAACACAGCAGGAGCCCAAGCAGACCAGAGAGACCCGGAGCTGAATTAGCCACAAACTCAACACCCGCGCAGGTCATTATAGAATCACTCATTAAAGTTCAATTTACTCTCATATTTTCAACAAGACACTATTTTTTTTTTTTGGCCTTTGTCTACATTCAGCTATCTCCTCCCACCCCACCAAAATGATCTGTTAATGGCGCTTGATTATCTTAAAAAGATGTTATATTGAGGACTCTGAGAACATCTCTCTCACTAAGTCCCACTCCTTTTACAATTTAATAGGGACCTTGGGAGGTATTTATAAGTACCACTGCTTTTTAAATAATGTGACTCCCAGACACATTATCTACTGATAGGAGTGATATCACCCCATCTTGCTAGACTGTCAAAATTAGGCACAACGAAGAACATCACAGTTTACTAAATAAAACAACAAACAAGAGGAATGCACCCTGCGTTTCATTCTGTCTTGGGTCCTCTGTATAGTGCTCAAGGTCTCTCCAAAGGTTAATTCTTCCTATAAATGTTTAATTTCAAAGCATAGTTTTGAGGTTTTGTTTATAAGACAAAACACACAGGTTTTTAATGTTTTCCAAGAAAAAGCAAAATTATACACAACCTTTCTTTCAGTCTCTAACGTTGAAAAGGTCTCCTTGCTTCACTTTGCTCTTTGCTTTAAGTTCACAAACTTATAGAGTTAAGGGGTGAGGGCTAGTATATTTGTTTTTGTTGTAGTTGTTAATTGTTTCATCAGCAAAGCTTGAGTTTTTCAACAACAAGAAAAAAAGGCAAAACATGTTTTCTAGAATTTCTCAAAGTTGGGAAGCCTGAACTTCTGTCAAATATAAACAAAGACTGTTCTGCAATATGTCTATACATAACATGTTCTACATTATCAATTAATGTGGATTCAATAACTTCTGAGTTTTATTTTAGTCCGAAATAAATAAAAGTTCATCTAGGGAAAGAAAAGTCCTCACAGAAGGAGAAAGAATGTTTCTAAAAGCTAAGCTTTCAAAGCTCCTGGAATTGATTGCCCACAATAAACGTGAGATAGGAAGGAATCCTGGTTCTAAGTTTAGAGAAATTCTATGAGATAAGGAAGGCCTATAGATTGTGAAGGAATTAAAGGGGATGGGGGAGGAGAAGAGGGGAAAAGTAAACAGAGCTGGGAAGAGGAGAGTCTGACTTTTTTACTGGGGTCTGGGCATTTAGCACTTTATTTCAGTCATTCTTTCAGTCAGTCAACAAATTCACTTCAATAAAAATTTACTCAATGTCTTTTATCAGCCATCCCTGAGACAAGCACTTATTACAGGTGACAAATGTTTAAATAAAGGCAAATTAAAGAAGAATTTAAAATAGAATTTAGGATCCCAAAGTATTCGCCAGAAGTTTAGCTACTTAAAAACCACCCCCACACAAATGATCACCTTTAAAGTTCTCATCCAGTTCCATAAAACTCTACACCTCATTGCTAAAGAGTGGCCTTCACAAGTCCTGAGGGGCTGCTCCTCCCCCGAAGCACTCCTTGACTGGTTTCCAGACCGGAAAGGTCTTCACATTCCTGCAGACAAACCTTTGCAAGAACCCCGCATGCTCTGTCTCTGAGGGGAAACCTTCAGATGGGCTGCCAAACCCTACAAAAGGGTCACAGGTTCCCAGCTCCTCCAGGACCCCAGAGAGGAGAGAGGGGCCTCCACGGCCAGAGGAGTAGCATGAGAGGATCAGGGTCAGTGGCTGCCAGGCTTCAAGGCTTCCGCCATCCTGTTATCAGAAAGAGAGAAAAGCCAGAGCCCACGGCAGAAAGCAGGCAGGAGTCTAACTCCTTTCCAGGTATAGGATGTCACCAGGGACTGTTGCCTTGAAACTCGGCAGAGCTGAGCCGCTGGATGTAAAACAAGCCCATCTCTGAGTTTCTAATTTTTGCAATCCATTTAATTAATTTCAGTCACCTGGCAAAAAATCAGAACAATGCCATCCCTGTCCCGAAGGGATTTGCCTATAGTGGCCTACAAAAATTACAACGAAAATCAATCAGCAGAATGACTTCCAATGGGTCATCGCATTCTCTTTTCTCTCTTCCTTAGGGTCGTCCGCACTCTGCAGCTGCAGCTTCACCGACTTCTGGCCCCCAGGGTTCGGGGCCAGCACCAGCCTCTGTTCTTGGTGTAATTCTCCGTCTTCCGTTACCTGCATGGCACCATCACATGCACGATTTTCCCTCATTCATTTTCTGTCTTAAATCCTATAAATCCTGCCCAAAATTCAAAGATAAATGCTCAGTGCTCTCATATCCTTTCTGACCTTTAGTCTTTGGCAAAACTTCAGCATTTCTTTAACCAATTTCCTCATGTGTCTCCCTGTGTATGTCTTCATAGCTCCATCTCAGACTCTGGTTAAACGCTTTCGGGTACACTGCAGACCTCCTCTTTTCTGAACGTCAGCTCCAGAAGTCAAAAAACTACAACAAAGCCCTGCTTTTTCCTCTCATCCTCTCTGTGGATCCAACACCCTCTATCAATGACTATCACCCTTTTTAAACAAGTCAGCATACCTCAGTCCCTACACTGAGGCCTCCAGTGGGCAACCTTCTGCTCATCCTGTGTTACTGCCCCATGGCTCCTTCATCCATTTCTCCAGCCTCAGCTCTCCCAGCCTCTTCCCACACCCTAACTCAGATCAACCTCTCCCGCTGCCTCATTATCAAGATCCATCTTTCAGCTCAACTTAAAATTTAGGTCAACAAAACATTCCTCGTACCACACAGATCTGTGTAACCAGTTCTCTATAAACCCCATCCCTCAAACAACAACCACACAATACTCCCCTTCCCCAAAAAACACAGCAAAAGTAAACACTAGCCCTCTTTATGTCTCCCGTAAATAAGTCCTTTCAATGTCAATACCGTGACTTCTTTGCTCTGTGAGCTACCTATGACAGCTTGAGGAATCTCAGATTAACTGAACTGATAAACACTATTTGTTCATATTTTTAGATGCACTTACATCTTGACATCCCTGCAATATCAGCTAACACATCCTGTCACACCCACCATGAATATTCAGAGAGAAAGGACAACTGAAATTAAGTGGTAAAGATGCCATTCCTCTGATATCTTCAAGTTTCCAGGAACTTTGCAACATGAGGTTAATATGCCAAGGTTTAAGAAAGCCATGTAGAACTCCTGCAAGCAAAGTAGATTACTTGCCAAAATCTACCTCCAAAAAAACTATTAGAACAAGAACTCAAGTCACAGAGCTCTTTAAAGTATTCACAACACCCTTCAACACGGGTAATTGAAAAAACATTCTCTCTCTAAACAGAATCCTCATCTCCTTTCTAAATGAAACAAACTCTGAAGCCAACTCAGCATATGGCAATGTCTGAAGATTGATTTTAATTAGAAAAGTGGAAGAGAGATGGAATCTACAAATCTTCCTGCACTCCCCACCCAAAAAAGCCTAGACGGAAACTGCAGTTTGGAAAACCTTGTACTTAGAGAGTCCTTATGTAAAGGACTTACATCACAGCATCCTTACAAGGCAGAGAAATGGAAGAGCCAGAACCTGGTCTCACCAAGCCAATGAAGGGGAACATGGATTGGCTGAGCATCCACACCAGTTAAGTCTAAGAGACTACAGTAGCTATGGAAAACCTCACCTTAGTTAATTCTCCCAACAATCCTGCAAGGTAGGCTGTGCTACTCTACTTCGCAGCTTAGGAAACTAAGGCTGAGACTGAATCACTGTTTCCAAAATCACTGGATAACCTTTCATAAATACTTTTTCTTTCTAAATGTTTTTATTATCTTTATTGTCATTGTTTTCACAGCCACCTGGCAAGTTGGATAAGAGAAGCATTATTCCCACACTACAGATGAAATTGAGAAAAACAGTTAACAAAGTCAAGTCTATATTGTAATTTTCAGTTTCAAATAAGCCTTAACAAAGGTGGAACTTAAACTCTAGCATGATTTCATCAGCCTAGAGCTTCCGCACAACTATTCCTTTCCCTTATTCATCTCACTCAATTTTGTCTTTCTATTCTGTGTTGAAAAAGTAAGACAGAAACAGCTGATTCCCTCCAGAGTATTGGAATACTAATTTGATTCAGCAGTGGCCTTGGCAGCAGATTTCATTCCCAGTTCATTCTTCCTTTGAATGCAATATGGTTCCAAGGATTCTTCTGGTACTAAGATCACATCAAGACACTAAAACTCCAGCCTTATTTACTGAAAGTCTGAGGAAAAGGCACAATTATTGTTGTGTCTTCCTTCATCCCATGTGCCAAGGAAATGGGTCTTGCATGAAAAAAGTCTGGGCAAAAGCAATTTTAAAAAAACCGAAGAATGAAGAAATCTGAATTCTAAACCTACCTTTGCCTCACTAAGAAAAGATTTTTGGACAATACTTTTAATTTCTATTTGCTGTCATCTGTCAAATGTAAACAAGAAGTCATGTGGCACTTATCTTGTAGGATTGCTGTGGGAAGACAGTATGATAAAATATTGTTATCAGAATTAGCGAGATAACTTAAATAAATAACCTATATCATAAGTGTCTAAGTAGTCAATCTTTCCTTTGTGCCCTCACCTTTTCAGTATAGTCAGAAAGAGCAATCTTAACAAAAAATATCAATCCCCTGCTTTAAACCCTTCAAAGGCTGCCTACTGACAAAAACCCCAGTCCAAATTCTCAGCACCACATAATCTGTCCCACCCCATGGCCTTTCCAGCCTCTTGTGTCACCACCTGTCTTCTTCAGTAATGTGTACCACACATAATGCCCCAAATACATTCTACTTCACAGCACATGGGACATATGTCACATGCTATCCTTCTTTTGGGAGTGTTCTACTCTGCTTAACTCAGATTCAAAGCTGCCTCTTCACGGAAACCTTCCCCGATTGAGACCCTTAACCAGGGAGGGGGAGAGTTAGTCTCCATAAGTCAAAATGCGATTACACTTATCACGTTGAATAATAATCACATTCTGGCTGGTGTGGCTCAGTGGGCTGAGCGCCAGCCTGTGAACCAAAGGTCACTGGTTCAATTCCCAGTCAGGGCACATGCCTGGGTTGCAGGCCAGGTCCCCCCAGTAAGGGGCACGCGAGAGGGAACCACACATTGCTATTTCTCTCCCTCTCTTTCTCCCTCGCTTCCCCTTCTCTAAAAATAAATAAATAAATAATCTTAAAAAAAAAATCAATCCCTACTAAATTACAAGATCCTTGGGAGTAAAGAGTATGTCTATATCAGTGCTGACATACAGTAAGTGTGCAAAAAAGATTAATTGGATGAATAAACCTCAACTATGTTTAAATGTAAATTACTTATACAGTCATATATGAATATGCCACATATAAGATATATGTTTAGAAAAAAGATGGGAAGAAAATAAACTATTAGCAGTGGTGACCTCTGGTTAGTGAAATTATAAATAATGTTTATTTTCTTTTCTAAATTTTTTATTATAGTTATGTTATACTTAATTTTAGATGTGTTTCAAATGTATAAGCAAAAATAAATGAATGAATACAACCTAATGGTGGGGGCCTGACCTTATTTAACTTTCTCCAACTCTCCACCTAGCCCAATGCCCTGCACAAAGGAGGTGCTCAATATATCTGTTTGAACTGAATGTATTCTGTTGAGTTGAATAGTTAAAATGTCAAACCAGGCATTTTTTAAAAATTAACAAACAAAACTAGATGTTGCCTGACCAAAAAAAAAAAAAAAAAAAAAGAATGACAAAAATAATTATAATGTCAATCAATTTTTATTTCTAAATCTCCTTTGCTTAATACAGCCTTTAGGAAATATTTCTCTTACAGAACACGTAAGAATGGCTACCATCTTGAACTACTCAGTGAGAGTGGGCAAGCTACTTAATCTCTCAGGGAGGAGATATGCCATCTTTCTATAGTTAAAAACACTGTGATGAGTTAAAATAGAAGTAAGTTTTAAGTGTTTTAGCCCTTGAAGTATGACATTTTAGATTCAGGTTTAATTTCATGGGAGGAAGTCCTATCTATTCCAGGAAGGAGGCAGTTTATCAGTTGCTGAGCTACTCTGGCCCCACCTGATGTCCACTTGGAGTAGTTTAAATGTTGCTGCAAGCCCAAAGACTGGGAGCTTGGGTTTTTTCCTCAGGTAGAGACTATAAAATTAATTAAAGACAGTCTCCTGTAAACTAGGGGGCATGTAAACCTGGAGAGCAAGTTGGCAAAAGCTATCAAGAATCTTATAAAAAGTGCATCCCTCTGGCCCACCAATTCCACACCCTGGAATGTCAACTAAGGATATGCACAAAGATTTAGCTTTAAAAAAGGGCTTCACAAAATTATTTATAATGATGAAAATTGGAAATAACCTTAATAACCACTGGATACAGTGGTAAATCCACTGGTTGGAATATTATGCAGACTTTATAAATTACATTGTAGAAATAGATTTACTGACACTGAGACATATTTACCATATACTATTTAGTGGGGGGAAAGTAGGCTACAAAACAGTATGTACACTGTGAACCCATCATTGGTAGAGAAAATGACATAAATACAGATATTGATAGGAAAAAAAAATCTGGAATATACACAGGAAAATGTTTAACAGTAGTTATCTTTGAGTGGTAGGAAAATGAAAGGTTGTTCTTTTATAAATTGCTTGTATTTGCTTATGTTTCTCTTTCAATGAACATATAATTAGAAATTCTTCTTGTATACTTAGAGGTGATTCTAAAAATAAACAACCAAACAGCAACCCGCCTTGTGCTCTGAGGGCTTCCGCATGGCATCTGCACTAGGGCCCTCTAAGTACTTTCCTTGCTAAAAGGCACCACCCCTCAGACCCTCGGTGGAAGCCTGAAGGCTTCACTTCCAAGCCATGTCAGCCCTGCTGCCATCAAGAGATACGTCAGGTTCAGCTCAAGAGCAGATTCAGAAAAAGTGGCTCCAAGCCAGTCCCTGGGTTCCAGCCCAGAATTCAGGCCCATCCCTCAACTGGCTCAGCAGCCAAGCATCCCTTGCCACTTACCTCTCCCGAGGGTGGCGTCCCGAGCCTGACCTCCTCGTAGGCGCCCACCTTCTCCCAGGTGGCCAAGAAGGCGTGGGTGGGGGTGAAGTCAGAGGCTGCAGCGCGCGGGAAGCCTGCGCGCACGTAGCGGGCGGCCAGGCCCAGCACTTTCGGACCCTTGTCCTCACGGTACAGGATCCTGCCCCTGCCCTGGCTCGTGTCGATGTCGGCCAGAAAGGGAGCGATGGCCGGGAAGTCCGTGGGGAAACCATCGTCCACATACTGGGTCTCTCTGGGGAAGTCCTGGGTGGAGATGATGCCGTTGGTGCCCACCTGGGAAAGGAAGGAGACAAAAGGTGACTGGCGGTCGCTTACTCTACAACAAGTCCACAGGCGACCACCAAGGTCTAGACGTGAGCGCTCACCCTGCCTCTCATGGAGGATCGGGGCTTGAAGCTCCCTCTTCCCCACAGCTTGGTAGGCTGACTCCTGTTTCAGGGAGACCCGGACAGCTTCAACCTGTGTCCCACCTGCCCACTCCTACCCTATAGCGCGATGCAATAGGTCCAGGAGCCCTAAAGCTCGTTCGCATATTTTCTCACTTTCCGCACAACCCTGGAGAAAACCTCCAGGGTCGAGGAGGGAGCATCCTAGCTCTACAGACGTGCACTGACCTAACTGCAAACCCCGCTGGCTGCCCTAGCAACCCTACCTTCTTTTCTGCCCGGGACGCTCGTGTGGCCGCGAACAGTTCATGCTCTCTCACTCGACATATGGAAAAGCAGAGGGTCCGGCAGCAGTACCGCTGCAAAGCCAGGTCCCACCCCTGGGGCGCTCCGGGACAGCAAAGCCTGTGTACTATTTCCTCCCCTCCGAAGGCAGGGGTTCGGTGAGATCCACACTACATGGGCCCCTGGGAAGAAGCTGCGAGAAATCTGCGGAGTCCCGCACCCAGAGGAGGCCGAACTTACGTAGAGGTAGCTGAACTGGGCGTCGTAGAAGCGCAGGGGACTGGCCAGCTTCACCGCGGCTGAACTTTCGTCGTCGCCTTCCTTCAGGAGCTGGTCCCCCTGGAACTGCCCATAGGGGAAGAGCTCGCTTGGCTGCAGCGCCGCGGCCTGGGACAGCACCAGCAGCAGCAGCCACGGCGGCGGTGGCGCCAACAGCGCCCGCAGCCCAGCTGCCCGGTCCCCCCGCATGCTCGTTCGGCCCCGGGCTGCCGCCGCACAGTGCGTCCTGGCCCGCCAGCCCACTAGGCGCTCGGCTCCAGCCTCCAACCTGGATACCCGCGGGTGCCGGGGCGGGGCGGGCCTCCCGGCCCTCCCAGCGCGCTGACTGGCTGCGGCCCGACGCGGGGGACCAATCACCGGCTCTGAGAAAATTCGACAGCAGCCGCCACATCTGGTTCTCGTTAAAAGTTTTCTAAGGCAGGGGTCGCGGAAGCAGGCCGGCTTTTACCCCTGGCGAGGTAAAAGCCCCCGGCCGGGAATTCCCCGAGCTGCTGCTTCTCCTCCGTCTCCGCTCCTGGAGCCCTCCCGGGGGCCCTCCCTCCCTCCTTCTCTCCTTCCCTCCGGTCCGGTCTGCCCCGCGAGCCCCGCCCCCGGGACCAAACTGCTCGAGGGGTCCGAAGGCAGCGGCGCTGCAAGGAGGAGATGACCTCGGCATGAAGCGAGGACCCTGCAGCGGCGCGTGCCCCTCGCCCGGCTGGCAGGGCGAGGGTGTGTGCTGGGACACCCGGACGCCCCTTGTCCTCGAGGGCAGCTTCTCGGGCCGAGAAGCAAAGGGGATCTGTCGCAGTTGCACCATCCTTGACCGCTGCTCTCCACCCAGAGACGTCCTGTCGAGGAGCGCGACTTTGTAGGAAACCAGAGGGGCAGCCTCCAAAGTTCCATGGGCCTCAAGAGCGCTGTTTACCTTCCCCGGGGAAAATCGCACCCGGCAAGAACATGAAAAGTGACTATGTGTGATCGGCTCCGTTTCGGGAGTGGGATGAGGCATCCCGTTTGGGCACCAAGCAGACGTGATGGAAGAGCCGCGGGGGAGGGAGACCCTAGGCCTCTCGTGCGCTGCCTACGGGCGTCGGAGCTGCCCTTGTCCGCGGACATCGCGGTAGAACGCGCGCCGCACAGCGGGACTGGAAACCCGGACAAACCTACTGCGAGGGTGTGGGGGAACCCATCCCCCATAAGCATTCCCTCTGCTAAGCACCAGGAGTCTGACAAGACTTTATTACCATTTTTATTATCAAGAGCTTGAAATTTCCCAGATAGTCTGTTTTCTCCCTCCAGTCCCTTGTGGTATTTAAGCAAAGGTATTTAAAAAGAAGGTAAAAAGCAAACCTTTGGAATTGTCTAAAGCGATGCTCAAAAGATCGATTTATTTTATTATTTTATTTTATTTTATTTTGTTTTATTTTTTTGCGGATGTTTATTCCATTTGTATCAATTTGCTTGGGCCCACGGGGCTAAGCCCTAATATCTTTGAAGATATCAGACTATGAGATTCACAGAATCAACACAAAATGGGAAATTGGCCCAAAGCAGTTTTCTTCCACAGAACATGGACACTTGTATGTTTGGTGTTACAAAATGTATTTGTGCTTGTATACATATGTTCTTATTTCTATGGGGGTTAGTTTTGGGGTTTTTTTTCTGTATTCAAGAAATGAAAGCTCAAAGACAGAGGTGATTTTACTTGCTCATGGTCACCTAAGGCTACCCCTTAACATGAAACCCCTCACTGGCTCTCTAGCTTTTCCAACTCTCAACTGAACATAATAGCTAACGCTTAGTTGTAAGACGCTCTAGGATAGTGCCTCAGGGAGACCCTACGGTGGCCTCCAGTGATCCCCATTTCCTGGTGTTCATTTCCTTGTATAAGCCCCTCCCCTGGAGTGTGGGCTGGCCTAGTGACTTCTAACCCTTACAATGTGGTAAAAGTGATGAAAAGCCACTTCAGTGATTCTGCCACATCTGTCTTGATAGCAGCAGACTCTTTCACTGGCTTTGATGAAGGAAGCTGTGATGTTGGGCAGGCCAGCATGGCAAGGAACTGAGGCAACCTCTGGCCAACAGCCAGCAAGGCACTGTATTCTGCCAACAAGCGTGTAAGTGAATTTGGAAGCAAATTCCTCTGCCATCATGCCTTGAGATGACACCTCACCTATGGCTGACACTTCGATTGCAGGCTTGTGAGAGACCCTGAAGCAGAGGCGCCTGGTAAGTAGGGCCCAGGTTCCAGATCCACAGAAACTGAGAGTTTAATAAATGTGTATTGTTTCAAGCTGTTATGGTTTGGGATAATTTATTATGCAGCAATGAATAAGTGATACAGCTAGATACTATGCTAAGGTAACTAAGACTTAGAGAGATTTAAAAAAAAGTTAGTTATTGTTACATGGCTGGTAAGTACCAAAGCTGAGATTGGAACTGATTTCTACACCTCTGCTCTTAAGCACTAAATCATATTGCCACAAGGCCCTTTGGAAGGTAGTTCTAGCCCGCCTCTCTAACTTCAGCTCTAGCCACAGTGAATCTTTCAGCTGAGACTTTAGTTCTCAATTGGTTTGGAACATTCTCACATGCAAGTCCCTCTACCTGTCATGCTTTCCACAATCAATCTCATCTAATTAACACTCACTCATTCTTTTAAGACATGAATCAAAATACTTCTCCCTCAGGAAGCTTTTCTGGAAATCACACTCTGGCTTAGAATCCCCTTCTTCTTGTACCATGTGCCCTGTTGTGGCCATTATCGTATCTCCAGTCACGCGTATCTCTATAGTCCCTGATTGTCATATGTGCCTTTTACCACCACCACCACACTTTGAGGGCAGGGATTTTGTCTTATTCATGGTCTGTGGCCATGTCTGCCTGGCTTATTGGAAGAAGCATAAATAAATGTTTGTTGAATAAGTGGAAGCAAGCAAGCCAACCTGGGGCTAGAATCCATGTCTACTGTCTCAAGGAAACATTCTTTCCCCTACAGCACCTTTTCTGCTAACCTGACCTGAGTTTTCTAATCCTCTTGCCCAGGCTCCCTAGCAACTCACCTACCACTGTTCTCCATTCTTTCATTCATTCATTTAATAACTATTTCCTGCATGGTAATAACTATCACCACGACAGACAGAACTCTGCAAGAAATAACCGAGTACAAGATGTGACCCCTAACCTTAGGGAGCACATGCTCCAGGAAACAAGTACAATATAAATATGGGAAGGGAGGGGAATCAATGCTGCCAGATAGCATAGAAAACAGGAAAAAAGGGCCCTTGAATCAAGATGTTACTAGTTTTGAATCTGATGCGGACTACAAAGTAGATCCATCAGGGAAAAGGCTGAAGTGAGCAGTCCTGGCTCCCTGTCTGCATAACGTGGCTGAATTCTCCTTGAAATATGAGGCTTTGGGCAGCTGTGCTTGAGTAGACATTCCTTTGAGCTCTTACTCTAATATTTTTAAAATACTCTATGGCACCAAAAGAGTGGTTTCTCCTTTAAAATGTCACTTTGTGTCTTGGGGAAAAGAAAAAATTTGTCATAGCTATTCCACTGGTCAAAGTAAACACTGAAGAAATACTTCTCTTGTATCCACAGTTCTCGAGTAGAATTTCCGTGACCGGCCAGACTGGCTAAAGCGGCAGAGGCCCCTTTCGGGCTGAAGGTTACAGAGCACTTCTTCAGTAGACCTCTTGGACTGGACCTTCGCAGAAGATCCGAGGATTGCTGGAAAAATAAGATTACTTAGATGCAGGATTTTTATCCCAAGCCAGGGATGGTCCCAGACACCTTCCCAAAAGACCTCAGCAAAAGTCTCCAGTTGTATATTTTGTGTGGTTATATTTCTATATTAAATACCAAGCCTTTCCGTATGATGATAGTTCCTGTTATTTTAACCAAGAGAATGAAAACACATTTGCTCCACTGTGTGAAAATAGATGTAGGTATTTAAGAGCAAGTTCTATGTATAGCACTGACTTGTGTGTGTACATGTTTGTATTGGAGGTGGGCTTGGCCGAAAAAGTTCTGGTTCTTATTGCACACAGTGATTCTTTGCATAACTTTACTATCCTTTAAATTCCAGGGTGGGTGTGTGAACATGTAGAAAAACATAGCTGTGTAAATTAGCATGTCTCCACAAACTTGGGCTACGCTGAAATGATGTTAGGAGGATGAAAAGCCACATACTCCTCAGAAACTGTGAGTAGTGCTTGGGATATATTTGGGGGTCATTAGAATACAGGGCATCCCCCTACATCCCGCCTACATTCTAATGACCTCCAAATACATCCTAAGCCCTAAGCCTGTACTTGAGTTTTTTATTTATATCCAACCCCCTGATGAATATCCCCTTGGGATGACACCTCAAAGCCGCATCTAGGAGAACTGCATGCACTACTTAGAATTTCTGAGGCTTTAGTTTCAATTAATGTCAACAACACCCACTTCTGCTTTTTTATCAAGTGTTGAGTAAGTTAACTACCAACACTTGATAAAAGTCCCATCCTCCTTCTCCCTTACAGAAATCTATTCTAGAAGAAGATGATTGCTTGCTCAGCTTCTCTTTCAGCTAGAGGTAGCCATCTAGTATAGTCCTGACCCAACTGCCAGCTGTCTGATGAAAGGCTGGTGGTTTCTGGGAGGCATTTTACATTGGTTATTAAAGGGAATAATTGCATGTTTCACCATTCTTGCTGCCTTAAATATGGGTCTGATGTTTTAAGTTTAGACAACCACCTTCTGACCATGAGGTGACAACTGTGAGGACAAAAGCATGACAAAGCAAAAAGACAGAAAGGAGAGGAGTGTTTGATCCAGTGAGTAATTGCCTACCTCCAAATTTCTTATTATGTGAGAAAACCTTCTATTGGCTTAAGCCACTGCTCCATGAAACAGTACTCAATCCTAATTGGTACTTTGCTAAATCCTTTCTCTATATGTATTTAATGCACAAATCTGAACATCACATGTTTCTAAGACCCTTTGGTGGAGCTCCCTCTCCTTTAGGGTGAAATTTAAGCTGCATGGCAGTGCTATAAAGGCCTTGATGGTTGGCCTCTGCCATTTCCTGTCCCTTCTTACTCACACCTTTAGCAGTACTGAACTGTCTGTACCCACACAAGTAGCTTGACTCCAGTGTTCCTTGGTTTCTGTTGTTCCTTGTCTCAAATACCATGCCCAACTCCTGATGGTCTTTCATTCCCAGCAATATTCATTTCAGATAGCACC